CATAGGAGGCACAATATTTCCACACAAGCGTATACACAAGGCTACATGGATCTCACCGGACCACACTACAGAGAACCAAATAGATCATATTTGCATCAACAAAAAATTCCGAAGGACAATGGAAGATGTGAGAACAAGAAGAGGTGCTGACGTAGCTTCAGATCACCACCTAGTTGTAGCCAATTTGAAACTGAAGCTAAAAAAGAACTGGACAAGTGGACAAACAGCAATACAAAGGTTCAATACAGCCTTCCTTCGAGATACTGTCAAACTCAATGAATTCAAGATAGCTCTCAACAACAGGTTCCAAGCCTTACAAGATCTACTGAAAGGAGAAGAAACTACTATGGAGGGCAACTGGAAAGGCATCAAGGAAGCATTAACTTCAACGTGTCAAGAGGTTCTCGGTCTAAAGAAATACCATCATAAGGAATGGATCTCTACAGAAACACTGGACAAGATCAAAGAAAGGAAGAACAAGAAGGCAGCAATAAACAACAGCCGAACACGAGCAGAGAAAGTCCAAGCACAAGCTGAATACATAGAAGCAGACAAACAAGTGAAGAGGAGCATTTGAGCCGACAAGAAGAAATACATGGAAGAACTAGCAACGACGGCAGAAAAAGCTGCTAGAGAAGGAAATATGAAACAGCTCTACGATACAACGAAGAAACTATCAGGGAAATACAGTAAACCAGAGAGGCCGGTCAAAGACAAAGAAGGCAAGCCAATCACCGAAATTCAACAACAGCGTAACAGATGGGTAGAATACTTCGAGGAACTCCTGAATAGGCCGGCTCCAATGAATCCACCGGACATCGAAGCAGCACACACACAGATCTTCCCATAGATGTCAACCCACCAATGAAGGAAGAAATCAGAATGGCCGTCAGACAAATCAAGAGCGAGAAAGCAGCAGGACACGACAACATACCAGCTGGAGCACTGAAATCAGACATCGAAACAACCACAAGCATGCTTTATCTTCTATTCAAAAAGATTTGGGAGGAGGAACAAGTGCCGATGGACTGGAAAGAAGGACACCTCGTCAAGATTCCAAAGAAAGGAGATCTGAGCAAATGTGAAAACTACAGAGGCATAACACTACTGTCAATACCAGGGAAGGTCTTCAACAGATTGTTGCTGAACCGGATGAAGGATGCAGTAGACGCCCAACTTTGAGATCAACAAGCTGGATTCCGAAAGGATCGGTCGTGCACAGACCAAACTGCAACACTACGGATCATCGTCGAACAATCAGTTGAGTGGAACTCATCACTATACATCAACTTCATTGATTATGAAAAGGCATTCGACAGTGTAGATAGAAAGACATTATGGAAACTTCTTCGACACTACGGCGTTCCTGAGAAGATTGTCAATATTATCCGGAACTCATACGACGGACTACGATGCAAAGTAGTGCATGGAGGACAGCTGACAGATGCATTCCAAGTAAGGACCGGAGTCAGACAAGGCTGTTTACTCTCTCCCTTCCTCTTTCTTCTGGTGGTCGACTGGATTATGAAGACCTCAACATCTGAAGGAAAACACGGAATACAATGGACAGCTCAGAATCAATTAGACGATTTGGACTTCGCAGATGACCTAGCCCTCCTATCACGTACACACGAACAGATGCAGATGAAGACAGCCAGTGTAGCAGCAGTCTCTGCATCAGTAGGCCTCAGCATATACAAAGGGAAAACCAAGGTCCTCAAATTCAAAGCGGAGAACAGCAATCCAATCACACTTGATGGCGAAACTCTGGAAGATGTAGAGTCCTTCACATACCTGGGAAGCATCATCGATGAACAAGGAGGATCCGATGCAGACGTAAAGGCGAGGATCGGCAAAGCATTCCTACAATTGAAGAACATATGGAACTCAAAACAACTTTCAACCAATATCAAAGTGAGAATCTTCAATACGAACGTCAAGTCAGTTCTACTGTATGGAGCTGAAACTTGGAGAACTACAACAACCACCATCAAAAAGGCACAAATGTTTATAAATGGTTGTCTACGCAAGATACACAACATCCATTGGCCGGATACCATCAGCAATAGCCTTCTGTGGGAGAGAACAAACCAACTTCCAGCTGAAGAAGAAATTAGGAAAAGACGATGGAAATGGATAGGACATACATTACGCAAATCGTCAAACTGCATCACGAGGCAAGCCCTAACTTGGAATCCTGAAGGGAAGCGAAAAAGAGGAAGGCCAAAGAACACATTGCATCGGATAATAGAAGTAGATATGAAAACGATGAATTACAACTGGACGGAGCTAGAAAGGATTGCCCAGGACAGGGTTGGATGGAGAATGCTGGTGAGCGGCCTATGCTCCTTCACGAGGAGTAACAGGCGTAAGTAAGTAAGTAATTTTTCCTGGATCTCAGTGGAGATCATTAGAGAAAAGTTACTGTTTTATGACGATCTTTCTTTCATTTTCGGAAATAAACAAGTGTTTGTACAATAACTGCGTTATTAAATTGTTATAAATAGTGAATGATTTGTATTAAGCAGCTCAAGCTGATTTCTTACCTTAATAGAATTTGTGTTTGCTAGTGACTAAGTTTGAGAATTATTTAGTCTCTAGACACCATTGACAGGGTCTGAAAATGATGAAAAAGAGGTAAATATCGTAAAAGGTATTTGTGATGGTCGCTCAATATCACGGACCAGAAAACTAGAATCCATGTTTACTTTCGTCATATATGCTTTAATTACGCGGGAAAAAATCTTGTTCCAACTTATCTTTTTATTGAACTATGGTCCAATTTCGATGTTGGTGAAAGTGATTTATGACCCTTCAGTAGTAACTCCCAAGATAGACTCGATTAGCAAAGGTTAAGAAACTAGGTAATTCCAGTAGACGTTACGAATACCACGCAATCTTTTGATTTCTGGTAAAACGAAGGTTGAGTGTCTTATTATTACGAATTTCTGGTTTAACTACTCATAAGTAACTTAGTTAGCATACAAAAATATTAAGTGACCGACGATTGTGAAACAAATCATGTTCGAAAATGAAAATCTGTTAACAATCACTTTGGAAGAATGTAGAAAAAACATCTAATAGAAAGCTCCCTGATATCCACAGTATTGACATGAATATAGGTAACTGGACAATCAAAGTAGTAAATAGTAACCTTTAAATTTATTCAAAGTATAGACGGAATGTGGTTAGTAGTGATATCCAGAACACGTATTTAGTCCTGTTCGGTACCCTTCAACTGGATGCACATCCATCCCAAAGATGACATACACTCCACCGTTAGAACCCCGTAAATTTCGCTTTAAACACCAACATATTATCCACTTAGCTACTTGTGCAACGGGTAGGACTTTCAATATGTAATGCTTAAGATTATCCCGTTTTCATATTTTTGACTGGATTTTGATTAATCTTGATTAGCATATATACATCTTATGTAGATTAAATCGATATATTCAAGTTCTCGTCTTATTATAAAGTGGTTGGAATTTAAATAGACATACATTTTAAAAGATGTACCCGGGACTTACATCAAGTCACATCATAAGTACAATTAACCATGTTCATCCACTCATCTAAACAGATATTGAAACATGGGGAATTAAGAAAGTTTTACACACTGAGATCCAATACATTATCTACCACAATATTTTTCTTGCATGATTTTGAAATCGGTTCAATTTTTATGTTTCAAATTTTAACCTGTGTTAGGTAACGTAATTAACTGTATTAATATAAAAGTGGACTTGAAATAAATTCTTTCATTAATCCTATAATACGCAGAAGTATGAGTTCGTCCGATTATTGTGTAGACCGTCATTTAGTCTAAATAGAGCAATGGAAACAGTGAATTATTGTTCAACGTACAGTTGCCTTGACCAATTCAACCAATATTTATCAATATGACATTGTTCCAGCAAAAACAACATTGAATCATCTTCCTTATTATTGTTTTTGACAGATATCTTCCAGAAAAACTCTGAAAGTCATCTTTTACAAAAGAATTATCTTAGGTTTAATTACATACAGTGATTGATAATATCAAGATTGTCAACTGGAGAATGTCTATGTGGGATACTAAATCTTATCTAAAAAAGATAAGAGCGTTTCAGTGTGAAAAATCTTAAAGATAGTTAGGAGTGTGGAAGGATATCACTTATGTTAGATAAAACCCAAAGTACGTTCGAAACGGTAGCAAGTAACTAAATATATTGAGTTATAGCTTACCGATCACATGTTTAACGTAGAAGAAGAATTAGTAGTAGTGAAGCAGAAGCGCACCAATCCACCTGTTAAACAGTGAGCTGAGGACACACGCTTCACCCATTTTAGACACCATCGGCTATTCGTATGTCAAAATATTAGTGAGCTCATAAAAACTCAAGTACAATAAATTTCCTACAATCCAGCCATATATAAATCATCAGTGAAATAGATATACTATCAATAAATATTTGTCAGTAACAGGTGTTACTGAAAATCGAATGTATATAAATTATGTTTGAATTAAGAAAGATTGAGTATGGAATAGATTGAGAATATCAAAGATAATTACGATACATATACATTCCTCATCAGTAGATCAGAAATTTCGCACATTCCCAATCCCGTTATTTACCATTCCAATTAGAATCTTGACATTATTAGATAAGCAACGTTATCCAATTATTTGTGTTAACAACTGAGATAACAACAGATACCAGTAGATTCAGTCATATATAACAGAAATAATTAACATTAAACCACAATAACAAATAATTAAAACACTTTATTTTTCTGTTCATCAGAATTGAAAATCAAAGCTACAAATTAACAGAAAATATCATTCAAAATTTATTAAATTAGTGAACTAATAAATAAATAAACAAAATAGAGAAAAAGGTCAGTAACAAAGAGTGAACAAATAAAAGTACATAGAACAACAACAAAAAACAAAGCATGATTTTCTTTCCTTTAAACTAATAAACAACTAAAACAAATAAGTAAATAACAACGTCAATTTAATCCACACGAGGAAGGAAACCATTTTTTTCAGGTTCATAAAATTCTTCAATCATTTTATTCACAAGTTCTTGAAGTTCATTTGTTAAAGATTCCACAGATGCTCTGGAATTCATTGATTTTTGTTTTGGTTAAAAAAAAGAAAACCAAATAGACGCAATTAGTATATTGATGAAATTTACAATGGATTCAACATAAATTCTTTTTAATACACACTAGAGAGTAGATGGTGTTCAGCATGCACTGATTTTATATTCATGAGACATCAGTGAGAAATATCAACTAATATTAAAAGACTACAACTTCTAGTGCTGTCACACCTACATGGATTATTTCGGCTTTTGAGCAGATTAATTGATTTATACTTTTTGAGTCAGCATTTATACTTGATTTTGTCATCTATCCCATTCTAACTTTGACCATTTTTATATGATTGTATATGTATGTATCGCTTGTTCAATTCATCACATATCTGATTTTTCTATCTGGCTATAAATATTGAGTTATGCTTTGTCAAATCAAGTCGGTATGCTTGGATTTTCCGCTTCGCTTCTTACCTACGTATCTGTCTGAGTAAACGAATGTCTAAAATAAATTCATCTAATTTATTTCTCATTTGAATTTTTATTACATCCATCATTCAACACAGAGTTAACCTACCCATTTGGTTCAATACCAATTTGACATTATAGCTGAATTCAGTTTGTGATGAAAACCCCTAAATATAATTACTAACCTTAACCATCAACTGTAAATCAAAATTCAAATTCCTCACGCAGATTTATAACCCTCATTTGGTCCTAGTTATTAGATGAACGGTTTCAAAGTCAGTCTAGCGTCGCTCAAAGATTGTCCATAAATTATAGTCTTACCGCTTATTTTTCTTGACATTGAATTTTTTTTAAAAAAATCTGGTTATTGCTAAGAAATTCAAGTCAAATTAATTAGTTTTACAGTTAGATAAATTTACATGAATTGAATATAGTGAGATAGAATTCTTAACATTAATATTTCTTGATGTGTATGATTTTTGTTGTTGTTGTGAATTATAATTAACGTTTCATCTATAATCTGTGTTAATACATGAATTACATTAAATAGATAAATTAGAAATAATCATTTATGTAAGAATAGAAAGGGTTCATCTAAACTAATATATAACACAATAGATTTTAATAAATGGTCACGTATATAATTAGTAATAAACAATTTTCTTTTAATCAAACTATTTAGTTAATTAAATTAAATTTCACATGTGAATAATATAAAATTCATTAGATTACTTCATATCTTTGAATAAAACTTTGCAGTTGAATGTATGAAACAAATAGAATGATATGAACTTAACTGATTAATAAACGTAAAATAGTCAATTATTCAGATATCTTTGATGAATGTAAATTGGTATAAGTTTTCACAGCTTATATCAACAAGTCGAGAAGTAGGAGTGTGTTGAAGAAAAAAAAGAGAAATATCTTCATATGAAGATACTAATAATCTTGGAGAACAGTTACACATTAACATTATTTCCTCATAAATAAACAAATATCATTTACTAAAGTGGTTTCATAAAACTTTTCTACAAAATGAAGGTAATTTGTACTACAAATTAATATAAATTAAAGGATCAATGAAAACTAGAATGTACTCAATAGTTATTTCGTTCTAATCTGTAACTACTCCACATCAGTACACATCTGGGAGCTCACTTGAGAATGAATATAGGATATTGAAGTGTCGATCTAAGTATCATATTTGAAGTAGAATCCAGTGACCTATATTTCTAATCTTCATTAATTTGCAATAGGATATGATCCTCATCCAATAGAGTAGTCAATAAGTAAACTACTACTACTACTACTATTTTACACTACAATTTCAGAATATTCGTCACGAGCCATATGATAAGTATTTACTAAAGTGATACACTTTGCTTTTAATTCATTCTCGGCTAGTCTAAATCCATAGGGAGAAATATTTCCAGATTTGATGAATTCACTGCATAATCTTGGATGAGAAAAACACCATTCCTATAGACTAACTAAAATTCTAAATGTAAAAAAAATTGGATTTCCACTTTGTGACATAAAAAATTATCGAGAACCATCTTCTATGTCACAGGTAATTATCTCCTGTTATTTGATTTTAATATACTCAAGAGTCAATAAAAACAGCATATTTTTTATTGAAAGGGATCGTAGCAAGTTTGTTGAACAGTTGAAATATATCTATCAGGAAAAAGTTTAAGTACATTATTTTTCAACAAAAATGATGATTTTCATTTCCTAAATCTCTATACTTGTTGTTTTAGCTATAGGAATTACAATGACAGTGAGTATTACAGTGATTAGAACAAAACATTGCGATGGTCAAGTGATTTTTATGAAAGCTGAGCGAAATCAGGTTGAAAACTGAAAAAGTTCATTTATCATGGGTCTATCACACATCAATCAATAATATTTAGTTAGGGGGACGAGGAGTGCCTTTAAAAAACGAAATGACTAAGGATCAATCGTAATAACACATCCATTCTCATCAAACGAATAAGCTTTTCAAAAATGTTTTATTTTCTGCCATAAATTGTTTTCTATTGTTATTATTTTCTTTCCTGTTAGTTTCGTTATTTTCCCTACTTTTACCGTGTTACAGTGTATTACTGTAAAATAGATGACATAATTACATCATCCTAATAACAATAAGTATATAAAAAAGTAGATACATATAACAAAAAGAAACAAACAATGTGGCACATTACTTTGAAAACACTGACTGATTCGAAAATATTTTCCATAAGATGATGCATAAATTAAAAACTGTCTAAAAGCTTGAAAAACTGGGCATCTGTTGAGGAGTAGTGCGAAAACCTACATAAGGGACTACTCAAAATCAATTCTGAAACTATATTTAAGATAGCTAAGTCCCATGGTAGACGTAGTGTCAGTTAGTCGTTACAAGTTAAAATCTAATAGAAAGTTGTGACATGTACAACGAAACAATTCAATGATCAAGTTGACTACTATTGAAGGTGTTATTACTACTGTATTGCAAATCATTAAGATGTTCTCCACGAGTCTTAAAAATAATAAACATGATATCAAAATATGCTGGAAGTATGGATTACTGAGGGATTTTATACTAAGAAACGATAATGTTAGAAAAATGAAATCACTTACTCGCTTCCAGGTTTCGACCTCAATTCAGAATAATATTTAATTTTTGGTTCAGTTCCACTTGTACGAAGCGTTAGTGTCACACCATTTGAGAAATCGAAAGTAATCAACTGACTTGACTTACTAACAGGTAATACCTGGACAGAAAAGAAGAAATTAAGTCAGATATTTCATTGTTGGACTAAACGAAAGAGTTAAACATTAAAGCATTAAATTACTACACATATGAATGACAAGATATGAAAAAAAGAATCGCTGTATTCTATCATTTATTTGCATAGAATACGTAGCGTAATACCTACTAAGCTTACTGATAAGATGATTCCTTTTGAAATTAAATATTTTTTTACCATGGTATAGTCAATTTTCAAATTGGTTTACTTGATCTATATCAATGCATTACTACACATAAACAGTTTATTAAACGTTTTGACTCCGATTCGATGACCTTAGGTTAATTAAACGAGCACAATATAATAAAACACAAATTATCAAGCTTTATGAAAACGTGATTACATTCTTGTGTGATGCACATGTATACCTATCTTCCTACGTATATGCTATAATTTTACACCGTGCATTTACTTCGAAACAAGTATGAACTTTAAATAATGTATAAATCGAATTGAGAAAAAAAAGCAATACAATAGGACAGAACGTGTATTTTGGATTCTATTGCAATCATCATTTAACTTTAATAAAAACTTATGATTAAATCTTAACATCAGGGTAATTTGCTTAGAATGCATATATACCAAGAAAGATATTAACAAAGGGAAAATCCATACTCTTATAAACAAAATTCATGTTGATTGCACAAGATAGTGCCTACTTGGACTCAACAACATAGTGGATGACTTGTTGGAATTTGAAGTCAAAGGTACTCAGTTCACGTCTTAACACAGACAATAACAGTAAGATTCAAATACACTCAGCAAACGAAATATAAATCCCGGATCCTAGTGTTAGTCCTAATTCAACTTTAATTGAAAACAATAACAGGAAATGGTTCACATTAGTGTGGAATTGAATTAATATTACCGGTTTTAAGTCTGGATAATGATCATCATAACCAACTGTTAAATCCCGTATACCAGTTATTTGAAATCGACCAAGTTTTTGAGGATAGCCTTTAGGACCAGGTTCATTAGGCCAATTACGTATGCGATTGAACATTTTAACAATTTTCTCCGGTTCATGACAAAAGTAATAACCATTATTGGAAATATGTTGACCATAACTGATATTCAATAAAAAGTAACGTGAAAAGGCAGCAAAGAAAGTAATAATTTGTCCATATTAGGTGTATAATATAGAGTTAAGTATGTGAAATAAAAACAAACGTGTTTATTTCTGCAATTGGTTAAAATGGTCTAAAACACATGGTTCTTGCTAGAATTCACTGATGAACAGTGGTGTAAACTTTGGATCTGAAAAATTTCCGCTCCCCGTTCTTATTATTACTTATTTAAATTATCAACATTCGTAAAATGGTTATTAGTTAAAGTACTTAATGAAATAACTTTAATTGACTAGAATGAAGCATGCCACTTTTTTCCCCCAGATGTGTTCGAATCATTACATTGAACTAAAGTATCCAACGGGCCATTGGAATAAATGAATAGATGAAAAGTCTGTGGTTAAAATAAGGTGTTAGTGAAAATAACTCTTGTATGAAAGATATATTTACAGATCATCAAAAACGATAATAGTGGAAAATGATTTAAGGCTATTGGATGAATTCTGATTTTTATAAACATTAGCAGAAAAGTATCAGAAGGGGTTTTGTGGAGATTGTAGTAATTTCAATAGTTGAGATCATGAGTCCATTGAAGCTAGACCACCATGGAAAATCTGGAAACACTGGACGGCCGTTTTGTCTTATTGTGGGACTCCTCAGCAGTGCTCATCCATGACCCCGCCTCGCGGGATTCGAACCCAGGACCTAACAGTCTCGCGCAGAAAAGTCAAAATGTAGACTCCAATACTTGATGATTGAACTATTAAAAGAATTTATTTTAAGATCCTAGCAATTTATCGTAATAAAGGGAATAGTTGATCTCACATAGTTTAGAAATGCCTATGATCTTTGATATAGAATCATTTTTGATGAAATTACTAGTCTGTAGGAACATATTTGTTACAATACAAACATGTAATTCCTACATAATATTTACATGTATCCTCGTGTACGCTGCACTATAGCGAACAAAACTGAGTTTAGATGAAGTAGAATTCCTAGAATGCTAAAATTTTATGCGTCGCTACTAGTAACCATGACAACACAACCATCATTGAATATTCAAAAAATACAGAGTACGATTCTCCGAGTTAATCAACAGGAAGCTATGGACCAAAACATTTTATCTACATTGATTCTTAAAAATCATGCATTTATCTGATTTCGAAAAAAATTCGCGATCTCTCGAATGGTCAAATTTAATTCACTTGGAAGTTTACTAGAATGTATAAGTAATCTAAGAATATGTGGATATGCCATCAGCTGATAGAATCTAGTCAATTCAAAAATGAGAAGCAACTGACAAATGTTCATAAACTTAAAATATTATTACATGAAACAAACAAAAAGGAAAAGGTATGGTTGCTCAGTTAGTTATAATTAGTTCCAAATGCATTTTTTAAAATCAAAATTAAATCACTAATGGCCTTATTGTGAGGGGAAAAAATCAATTCTTTAAGGTTATTCATTTTTGTAGATTGTAGTAATCAGTCATGAAAAAAGGGTGTGTACATGTGCGAGCGTGCTTAAAGTTAAGAAAAACATTATAATGATGAACGAAGAGTTCAAAAAGTCAACTGCATGACAATTAAATAAAAGGTAATTAGAAACCCAGAAAAGGTATAACCAGTAAACGTATCTTCAAAAGAAAACCATGAATTTCGAATACATTGAAGTCAAACGTTTGACTGTTAATAGTCAACAGTACGTAGTTTGCAGAAAGAATAAAGTAAAGACGAAATAATGTGATATTTAAAGCTCTTCGTAGGAGGATGATTGACATGAATGTAGGGAACACTAATCCACATAACTTGATTTATGTGCCAGATGACATCCTGTACAACGCACTAGGATCGTTTTAGTAACTAACTGGAAACATATATTCCATCCCAAAAGTGATTAGATACTCTTCCAGGTGAAAAAGAAAAGAGTAGGATGAACGAAATATCAGGTGCCACTATTCGAATAACTAATTGACAAATATTTACCGAGTTTACAACAGCGATTGAGTAGTTGCTTGAACATGGGATCATATCAAATTTATAAATGACCGAATATATCTTCTCCCCTCATCTCAGAGTTTAATGACCAAGCAGTGAATCGAAACTAAAGTCTTCACAGTCAAATAGGCCTAAGACACTTTGGACCTAAGGTTTGAGTGTTTTTACCAGCCAATAAATCAATAATTTTTAATGGTTGAATTCATGAGTTGATCTAAGCTAGACTACAACTGAAAACCTGGAAGCACTGAACAGCCGTTTCATCCTAGTATAAAACTCCTCAGAAGGTTTCCAATGGTGGTCTAGCTTAGATCGACTCAAGAATTCAATATTAAAATTAGCACAATCTCCACAAATCCCCATTCTAATGAAAATCAATGAAGGTTAATATCTCCTAAGTATAATCCATTTATTAACACTTACATGTTATAAATCTCTATTAATTGATCAGATAATAGTTTTCCTTTATGATAAACATAAGAAGTGAGTTCAGCCATAACTGCTAAAGCCCCAACACCGTCTTTATCCCAGACAACATCACCGCACATAAAACCTGACAATAAGAGTAAATTCAAGGGTTATGGAAGTGAATTTATCCGGTATAAGAAAAAGTTTAAAGTTTAAAAAATAAACAATGTCGATTTCTTGCATTTCCATGGAAAAATAATTGTATGATATTACTAATTAGTTAACTGACAAAATTGTATTTATCACCAAATAGTTACGAAATTAAACAAAAAACAATGGAATAGTCATGACAGACTGATAACTGAAATGTGATTTAACTAATGGAATTTTGCAAAATCATGCCGATCAATATAAAAACAGAAGAAACTACAGCAAATGGATTTTAAAAAGCATACCGAAAAAAATTTGAGCTAGAGTACAATTCAGTATACAAATCTCTTTGTAACTTTCTGGTCATGGACTGTTAAACTAGAACTTATTAGGCAATCACGATTACTGTTTGTTATATCTAAAACATGGATTTTTGCAATACCACGTATAATTTGAGCACTCGAACGCTAGAACCTTCCAAGTCACAACATAGAACACAAAAGAAGAGTAGAAATGAATCTTATTCCAAACAGTGTCAAATATGGTGCAAAATACTCAGGTATTTATCGTTTTTGATAAAAACGAAATCATCATTACAGTTATTCAATCTGTATGCAGTGATTTGTAGCATTTGTCCATTCGGGAAGCTACACGTCGAGATTCTGGAATATTCTTTAAAACGATGATTAGATTAAATGTCTTCGGCTCTTTTATAGCTTCTTAAAGATTCCTTGAGTTCTTTAGGAGCCGTCCTCACACTATTCTTTGAATTTATGAAATAGTATCGCGTGAATATAAGTTATGTTTAATCTCCGATACATATTAACAGCTAATATGAGAAACTGAAGAAGCCTACCAGTTAGTAAATGATGTGTATGTTTTATATCACATTTATCTTTGCTGATACTACCACATAATTTCATTGACTGACATACTGACTGGGTACTAACTTAAACATTATATATATATATATATATATATATATAGTGCATTGCTTGAAATGTATTGAAAATATTCGTTCATGACCAACTTTAAAACATTTTTTCACGTGCCGAAATTATTAACAAGTGAATGCCAATCCAACCATGCTTCAGCCAGACTTAATGTTGTTCAGGACACGAAAACTTGTATAGCTTATTATTAGATTTTTAAATGTGGAAGTGAACGCGAATTAATGTCTTAAATACCCTTTGGTCCACATAGCTTTTTCTGTGTTTCCTAGTTAATGTATATCTGTTAATAAGATGTTTTACTTAAATGGTTGGATAACCAAATAATATCACAAGAAAATATCCACAAAACTAGTGAGTATTTTACAAAAGAAATCTCGAATCTCTCTTCTCATTGCACCAGCCTCTGATAAGGCGAACTCTCTATAAGCTAACTACAATGAGCCACTCTAATAATCGCAGTGGAATTATGTGTGAGTGTAAAATAATCTTAAAGAAGCAGTTGTGATATATGATTAAAACAAAAGGCTTGAAGGTCTTAATCATATTCTGAATTCTATTAATAAACATAAAATAGGCGGATATAATTCCCAGCTTAGTAAACGGAAAATTAAATATTTTACTGAAGCTTCAAGGAAATTCGATATTAAATCAAATTGTCATCAAAAAAGTAAAGAGTTTAGAAGAAACGATCTAATAAAATGGACCTTCGAATTCATAAGATGTTTATGATTTCTGTTATTGACAAACAAATTGCAGGAAGAACAGTGTATAACAGGAAATAATGATGAATCTTACCTATAGCTTCTTCGAAAGCGAAAATTGTTTTAACATTTTGCGACTCAAGCTCACAGGATCGATTACCCAACCATTTGAAACCAGTTAAAGTTTCCTCAAATCGAAACCCTTCTTGTTCGGCAATAGTTTTTAATATTTTAGAAGACACAGTACTAGATAATACAGCAACACTGGAAGCTGTAAAATAGTAACATAAAATTAAATTAAATATTACATTGGACTGTATGATCTGTAATTTCAACTCATTGAACAAGCATCTTGATAATAATAAGAAACTGTATTCAGTGTTGGTGGTCAGTCAGTCAGTCAGTAACAACGTAGAACTTCGTACGTACGTACATCAGTTCGAGTTGCCACACCACATTAGCACAGAGATGCAGTTGTCGATTCAAATCCTGTAGTGGTAGAGGTTATAAGAGTATAAGCAGTAATCGGGAAGATTAGGGTTTGGAGATGTTATTTAAAGAGTATAATCCAGTGAAAGAAATTTGGAAAGAGGAAAAAAGGGACATGAAGAATTCAGAAGATTAGAATTTGGGAGAACACAGAGAATGGATGCACCTGCGCCATTGCAAACGATTTTGAGCCATGTCATTCAGGGTCTCTAACCATCGGTTGCTATCATCTCGCGGTCCCCAACCAGGTAGTCTACACCTACCAACATGACTCAGTCCACTTGTCAGTGACTTCATGGACTTGTGCCATGTTTTGGTTTGGCCGCCCCTAGCTTTCTTCCAACCTACTCCTATACCACTGAACATAGCACGTCGAGGCAGTCGGTGGTTGGGCATACGTAACACGTGTCCCAGCCATCTCAACTGATGAAGTTTCACTACTTCATCAATTGATTTGCCATCCTTACCTAGTACCCGTTTCCTAACAACTGTGTTACTTACTCGATGGTCCCATGATATACGAGCAATGTTTCGAAGATACCTATGATCAAATACTAGTAACCTACGGATATCCTCTACTCTTACCGGCCATGTTTCACTGCCATAAAGTAGGACGGAACCAACTGCTGCGCAGTAAACACGTCGTTTGGTTGATAGACGGATATCTCGCCTACGCCATAAATGACGCAAGTTGGCAAAAGCTAGTCGAGCCTTCTGTATCCGTGCTGAGATTTCGTCACACACCAAACCACAAGGGCTGATGAGACTTCCAAGATAAGTGAAGCGGTCGACACACCCAACTACTTCACTCCCTATCACTAGTTCGGGTGTCGATGTAACCCAATCCTGAAGCAACATTTTGCATTTCGAGGGAGAGAATCGCATCCCGAACATGCTTGCATTGTTGCTTAGAGTGGTCAGAAGACTCTGCATTTTGTCAGCGTCTTCACCAAATAAAACTATGTCATCTGCATATTCTAAGTCAACAAGTGAACCTCCTGGTAGAAGTTCAACCCCTGTAAATTTAGATGAGGAGAGTGTTATCTCTAAAAGTACGTCAATGACAAAGTTGAACAAGAATGGAGAGAGTGGACAGCCCTGACGAACACCACTTGAGGTAATCAATTCTGATGACAGTTCGCTATAAGCTCTCACTCTACCAGTTGTGTTCGAGTAGAGAGCCTTTATAAGGTTAATGTACTTCTTTGGTACTCCTTTCAGTGACAAACACTGCCATAGAACCTCACAATCAACGGAGTCGAATGCCGCCTTAAGGTCGAGAAATACTACGATTGTGGGGCGTCTGAATGTGTGTCTGTGTTCTAGAACCTGACGTAGTGTGAATATCTGATCGATACAACCACGTCCAGGTCGAAAACCAGCCTGGTTTTCTCTAGTCTGCTCTTCACGAGCTTTAGTTAGGCGTCGAAGTATTATTGAGGCTAATATTTTAGACACTATATTAGTCAAACTGATTCCTCTGTGATTGTCAAAAGAGGACTTTTGTCCTTTCTTAAAAACTGGCACAATCAGTGATTGAGACCAGTCAGATGGGATTACGTCCAGTTCCCAAATTCTACCTAAGACCTCAGTTAATCTCATTGCTAATACTGGACCACCATCCTTAAAAATCTCAGGAGTAAACCTGTCAGGGCCTGCTGCTCTCCCTCGCTTCAGATTTCCTATGGCTTTTTCAACTTCGTAAAGGGACGGAGGACTTACATTAACTTGCCATTCAGGCTGACTGGAGATCGTGGGAAACCGAAGTGTGGCTGAAGGCCAGTTGAACTGATCCCTAAAGTGTTCTGCCCATCGATCCAATCTCCTGGATTGAGAATGAATAATATGTCCATCTTTCTCTGAGATTGTTTCGCTAACGGTCGGGTTCCTAATTCCGGTTTCCTTAACGAGTCTAAACAATTGTCTGCTATTACCTATTGCTGCTGTCTTTTCCATCTCTCTTGCTTTCGCTACCCACCACTGTTCACGATCATTGCGTAGACTTCTTGTCAGCTTGCGCTTAAGCTGACTCCGCTCTTCATTATGTTCAGAGCCAGGTGGAATGCGTTTTCGAGCATCTATCAGTGCGATAGATGCTGCTGAGATCCAGTGTTGCTCCCTAACTTTACGGTTTACCTTACTAGCAGATATCACTGCTGTTTCCACAGCTTTTCGGATATCGTTCCATGCTGCCTCGGGGTGGGCATCACATACATGGCTGCCTAACTGTTTTCCTAGTTGTTCCTGAAATATATTCTTAGCTTGACTATCATTAAGTAGGCCCTAAGAGGTTTCCTTGCAGGATCTTTCCTACGTCCAGTAAGACGCAAGCAAATACGCGCTCGCACTAGACCATGATCTGAATCTAGGCATGTGCTCCAGAATGAGCGACAGTCTTCTATCGAGCCCCTCCATCGGTGGCTGATAGCGATGTGATCTATTTGGGTCCAACGTTGGGACGAATTAGGGGGTCGCCATGTTAAAAGATGTTTTTCCTTATGCTTAAAGTTAGTATTTGCAAGGAACAGGCGGTTATCTGAGCATAGCTGCAACAGACGGTCGCCATTATCTGTTCTTTGAGCCACGACACCATAGGATCCACCTAGGTGTCTTTCCTTATCGCTTAGTTTACCTACTTGAGCATTAAAGTCACCGGCCACTATTACTACATCCGAGCGCTTAGCTTTTCGGAGAAGGTCCGAAAGCTTTCTGTAAAACTCATCTTTTACATCGTCTGAGCTGCAGTCAGTGGGAGAATAGGCAGAGACGACGAATAGGCAACGACGAGTGTCCCTATCTTTCCGGATTCTTACTGTTCCGTTCAGTCGGACAGCGCACAAACGACTGTTTACTGGGATCCACTCTAAGAGAGCTAGTTCTGCCCTAGGACTCAATGCTATACCTACGCCGGCGAGGCCACGGGAAGCAGAATCAGGGCTTCCAGATACACGAAGCGTAAATCGAGTCGGTTCTTTATTTTGGCATGGTGAGGTCAAATGAATGACGCTACTTGGATCCTGTATGCGCGTTTCGGAGGCGCAGCACACATCGATGGCGCGAGATTCTAAAGTTTTAGCTAAGGAAGCCTGCTGTCCTATTTGGCAAAGTGTTCGTACGTTAAAAGCTCCTACGTGTAGTTTAGAGCGTGGTTTCAGGAGACCAGGAATGGCGTTCCACGTACTCGAATCGTTTGCCCTAGCGGTGCGAGGTGATAAAGAGACGTGAGGAGGGTTAGTCGGGAGGATAAGAGAGGTATTAGGAGGTGTAGGAAGAATTTGAATGTGACCACCTTGGTCTCTTGTGCTGTTACGGGTATGAGGGCTGATGTCACTTCCCGGCTGCCCACACCGTGGAAGGGTATTTCTTGATGAACCTGAAAAGGAAATTGGATTAGTGTTAGTCTTGACGACCTGGGAGCGTGACCGCAGAGCCCAAGGGACAACTGCTTGAGGCCGGTCGCGCACGGCCTTTTTGTGGAAGGTTTTTGACGTGTTAGCTCCGTTCTTCAAGGGGCCTTACCGCCGGAGACGGAAATCCGTGAGGTAAGGTGAGGTGTGCACTTTTAGGGTCGACCTTTTCTAACCCCACCCCTCCTTGTGGGAAGGCAGCATCGCTGTCATGCTGGTTGTCCGAGGGAAACACCTTACTGCTGTCACACCTCTCTACAGTCAGCAGTACGACTTCGCCCTCAGACCTTGAGTTGCTGCTTTTAGTCTTACCGTTCGCCAATCGACCTGCCTGGCATGGTAGAACCTGCAGGAACATATGTTCCAGCCAATATAGCTCGGTTGGGTCATCACGATAAGCAAGCCCGACCACCGCGTCAAGGTAGCAGCTTCGATCGGGCAGTGTTGGTGGTAGAAAATTTAGTGTGGATTGTGAAAGGCATGAAACACAATTTTAAATTTTTCGTCGTTACTATCCTACAATAAACCCGAAAAATCGGCTCGACTATACCCTGATACGTGGTTCGATCAAATATTTAGTGAATTAAAATAAATGACAGTGACAAGTACATTTTTCTTGATTCAACATACAAATGAGAAAGGAATGTTAACGACTTTGAATAAATCTTATCAACATTTTTAAATGAAACTGAAACTTTCGAAAAAGAGACCATACGCAACTAGTACATATAAAAAGGTGATGTTTTTGAGAAAGCGTATATTAGTATAGATTTGCGGAGATTGTTGAATTTCATAGACTATATCACAAAATGACATTAGCTAGATAATCGTGACCAGTGGAGTTCAACCATCAAGAGAGTGAGCCAGTAACTAACCAATAGCACTGGATGATGGTCGCATAACATAAAGATTTGATTGAAGTTAGAGGCGTAAACAATTGGACATTCATTCACTGGTTTAAAATTTAAATAATCGCTACCAGACCTAAGGATCCTGGGTTCGATTCCCGATAGGGTTGAAGATGTGCAGTGAAGAGCAGTCTCATATTAGGACGAAAAAACTATCCAATGTTGCCGAGTTTCCAATGGTTCTCTAAGTAAGGTCAGTCCGTGATGTAAAATGCAAAAAGGTATATGCTAGTAGTAGAACTGTAATAAATTAAAAGACTTTAAAATGAGTATTTATCTTCAATCTGGGGAATTTTATTAAAACATACCTAAAGCTCTAATAGCACTAATTTTCTGCATCGCATATAGAATTTAAACAATTTACATTCATATGGGTAGTTTATTTATTTTATGTATGGTCGACCTAGAAATGATTATAGATGGGTATAATATTGCAGAAATATATGTAACCTTACATTCAACATCCCTTGAACCTTAACTGGCTATTCAACTCATTTGAAAATGCAATGGCGATTCCGCTTTCAATGGTTTTATTCGGAGTCCAGAATTGCTTAATTTAGCTTCTCGTGTTAGGGCGGGAAGAGGTCCTAACTACAATAATCATGATGTAATGCATGTGACTTAAAAAGAGGTAGGTAATACACAGACTCTTAGAAGTCATACTTCCACTACAGAATTTGATATGTTTGCAGGGATTGTAGCTTTATTTCTTTGTAGAATAATTGACGCAAAGTGATTGAAACAGGCAAACTCTTACAAAGGTTAGAAAAAACAGCGAACAAGGGAATAATAGTGCATAATTTATTATATATACTCCATAATAACAATGGTCGATATTTTGCTTGGTCTAAAATTTATCAGGAAACATAGATAAATACAAGAAGAATCATTTACTTCCGATTACTAATGTTTGTCTATAATCGATCCTAAGATCAGGAAGTTAACAATTATGACCAATATCTTACAAGATAAACGTCCCAGGTGAAGACAACTAAGTTACTTAAATGGAATAAGATTACGCTACGATAAAAATCAATTGGGAAATTAATCATTTGAACCTAAAAAACACTATTATATTTGTCAATAAATAGCCAGAGGGACAATAATTTCAAATTGTTTTTAATGCGAATTGATAGAAATAATAATTATTGAACGTGAAGTTATTCATTTGCCTACATATACAATATAAATGCTTAGTTTTCCATAAAGAAACTAGTACTTCACTGACTTCAAAACGTACCTACATTTATTTCAGTAAACCTTCTAGTTCTTGAATATAATGCAAGTCAGCAAATATGGGTTTTCCGATTGTACTAGTTGTACTGTTTTGTAAAAAAAATATACTTAGATTCTATTTGAAACTTAAATAATTCGCTTTTGAGCATAGTTTAATCTGATTTGTAAAAAAAGCCTTTAGAAATATCGTTATTTCACATTGGCTAACAGTTGACAAATTTTGATGCACTGTAGGTTTAAACTAAGTGTGTGAAAATAAAAAAGCACAAGGTGAACTGTTAATCTCTCAAGGATATTGATTATCCTCTATAAACATAGTCTGTAATACATGATTACCCTAAGATGAATATGAGACTCTAGTTTTATTCGATACAAGTTTACATACATAAAACAGGAGTATTAACACGTTTTTTCATGCAAAAATTAAAGGGAAAGGATAGTAACAGGTAAACTTGACAACAAATGGACAATGTTTAATTTTCTCAAAACTTTAACAAAAAAGTAACAGAATAAGCAATGTTGTATTAACATTAATGTTACTACTGCTCTGCCACGCCAACAATTACTTAATATTTCTCTACATAACTGTTTTGTCTAAGTATTAAAAAAAAATACTTTCTTGTAGCTATATTACTGGGTGGTAAATTTTTTTTATTTTCTCGACCTGAATATTCAGAATAAGAATGAAACTAATGAGTGAAAAAAGTAGTTTAAACTTTTTCTTAAGAGGAATGTCTAAATAGCTTGTGAATTTCGGTAGACAATTGTTCATTTTTGAGTTGTGGTGTTTTTAAAGAAAACGATATGCATATAACAAAATTGATCATAAAAGTTTACTTTCGCTATAAAGTTTAAGATATTTCTCGACATTCTAAAGAATGATACTATAACAAATTTCCATATAACAGCGGTATGAGACAAAAAGTGAAACGGTAGCCTCGAATATATATATATATATATATATATATATATATATATATATATATATATATATAATACTACTTAATGAGCATAAATTCTGATACAACCAAGCGCCAAAAATATCATGTGCCATACAGTATCGGCAAATAATGAATGATATAGAGGTCGCTGGGATGATCGCAAAATATTTTCAAGTTGCCGAAGTCAGTGTTTGTAGGTGGTGACACTATGTGATTTACCATCATTAAGCTCGAACGCATATTTTCGAACCTCAGAGTTACTAGCATACTGTTGCCACTGGATGTTGGAAAACCTTCGGAAACTACACTGTTACACATTGACATTAGTCGCAGACCAAGAAGGACATGTTATCTGAAGCTTTATGATGCTCAATGTTTTTCCTAACTAATTTCAACCCCTGATGAGCACTATCTAACTATATAGCAAAATATGACTGATTACTAAGTATCTTGACAATTCTATTTCATAGGAATCTTGAATACATCTAGTTTTTTATTCAACAGTTTGTAGTTAAATCATCATTACTATATACATATATACCGGAAGTTCTAAATATTATAATTTTTTAACAGTATCGATTGTATGAACATATGATTGTCTATAAGATAATTAAGAAGCTAACTAGCTTATTTGAACCTATTTTTTATGAATCTAACTATAAACAAAGTAATTAATTACATGGTTTATGCATATTCTTTATGTATATATATAAAACTAAGGTCAGATACGATCTGCAGTATTTTATGTAGATGGAAAATATAGTTAACTGTACGAATTTTTTTATTACATATACCATTTTAATTTACACAAGTTTCCAAAAATGTCAGCTAACCAGGATTGGTGTTGAAAAAACTTAAGTACTCAATCAACTATCGAACTCCGCGCAATTAATAAAATAAAAACCAAGTACCTACATTCTAAACATTAATAGAGTAGCACGACAATGAAGAATCTATGGGATAAAAATACTTCGACTCTTTTGTAACAACCGGAATCGAGAAGATCAATTCTTTACAATAAATCTCTCATTACCTTAATAAACAGCAATTAAATAACACATTATATTCGTATGCATAAATGATAATGAATTTTGAACGGGTAAAAAAAATAGATAATACATTAGAATATCAACTAGACACCAACGAGGAAAAACATTAAAAAATTTAATTTACTGGGTCATGAAAAGGTATTGATGAGTTGTGAAACCCAACAAATCTAAACATTTTTAGACATCATCATAACATAAACACATTTCACTAGTTTTAATCAGTCAGTCATAATCGAACTAGAGCCTGGCATACATGTGTATGGGCAGAAGCATTAACAATGTAGTTCGAGAAGAACAAGTGAAAAGGTATGTATTATAGAATGATCGAACTCGAGATCTAAAGTAAAATGAAGAGTGAATAGATATTCGCTCCCCAAATGCACTAGTACGGTCAAGAGTGAGGAGAGTCAACTCTCCCTCTCGAAGTGCTATCATATGGCCACGCGTATACAGCCACTGCAAAGGGAAGTCCTTTTCGCCTTTTCGCGGCATCACTGTTGTTTACGAAATTGAGAAGACGAAAAGCGAATGTCTAGTGCTTTAACCGGGTCGGTAGACACGGAGGGTCCACCTAGGGGAGTTGGAAAACCCTGATTCCAAACAAATTGTGCACATCAGCTCCAGGATTCTGAAGGAACAAATGGCGTATGAAACAACTGCTGGTTACCGGCTACCATGGGACTGCATCTCCTGACATTGCTCCACTGCCCTGTGGATTAGACCTTTAGGTCGAAGGCTTTGGGTGTGGTCCTCTAAGAAAACCATCTACTTCGGTTTGAGCACCCGGGCAGTATCCTAACCCTCACACAAATCGAGTGATTTATGTGGTGCATATCTATTAGGTGCCTTCTTGTACCTATATTTATGTGTTTAAATAAAACAAATAAGTATATATATATATATATATATATATATATATATATATATATATATATATATATATTAGTTTAACAATCATAACTAAGTACCATTACGTACTTGATTGGGCTGAATTGATAAAATAAGAATCAAATTAACCTACTAGAAAATAAATTTCTAAAACTGTAAATATATTAGCCTAATGCTAGTGAAAATAAAAATATTTAGGATAACAGGATGTCATAAATTCCAACATCAGGTGTAGAGGAAAAGAGATTAGACCATACATCTGTGGAAAGAACAACAACAAAAGATATGTATCACAAGGTCTATGTGCATATAATCAACTATAATAACTTTGCTTTACTCAATAAATACAATATCTTTCCTACTTAACTCTTAGCTTCAGTAAAATTGGATTAGTTAAACAATAAGTTTTTATTATTTAAAAAAAAGCCATATTGAATCTCAGATTAATAAAAGAAAACGCTTCAAAATTCGAATAATGTGTTTTTGTAATAACATACGTTTTACTTGAGGATTGTGTATTTTCCACTGCAAAGATAACCACCAACCAAATAAAGCTCCAAGTTCATTGCCACTGAAAATTTTCCACTGACCACTACCAATTAAATACATATGATATTCTTTAGTAAAATATTAATAAAATATTAACTTGTAGCAAGGCAAACATTTTCGGTCAAGATGTATAATAATCTGTTTGGATTTGAAAACATATGTCTATGGATCTTACCAAAATTATGTTGGTAATCTGTAGTAACTAGTATTAGATAGATACATAGATTTATTACTACAGAAATTGACGTAACTGACATGATAAGAAAAGAGTAAGACTTGATAAACAGGCATTAATTTCAGTGGGAATTAACTGATCTACGAAATCCGTATCGCTGTCCGAATAGGTCAGTGGTGATATTTCATACCGTGAAGCTGGGTGACGCAGGTTTGAATCAACCAGTAAATATTAGTTCCCTCAGAACTACAAGTATACGTCGTTGGCAACTTCCAAATAGCACGGAACGTGTTAACCACCTAACATATCAACTTAGTGCATGCGATGTCCAGTCACTTAGGCTTGTGACCACATTGCGGCTTGATGGACAAATGGACAAACGTGATATTAGTCACTACACAGTGACCAATCAATTGTAAATATTTTACTATAACTGATTTAGATTTACCTCAGGTAAGAAGAAACTTATATAAAGTTTACAAAGAAATCTTCGCTTATTTTAACTGCAAACGTACAGCACGTTTTTTATTTAACTGATTGAGACTAAATGTGTTAATCAACTTACGATGTTTGTTTTTCAGCAACTGCTAGTCTATCAGCGTCTGGATCATTGGCAAAAATGATGGTACTTTTAATAGATTCCGCATGTTTAATACCTAAATTGAGTGCAGAACGACCTTCTTCTGGATTTGGATAGTCAACGGTTGGAAAGTCTGGATCAGGCATTATCTTTAGAGATTTTAAAGAAAAGTTGTAAGTACAAAATTATAAATTTTTCGAGTTAGTTTTTATGTGGATGATACGCTTATAAAGCAAGTCAACACGATTGCTGAAATCCGCATTGTTAAAAAGCAACCTGGCATAAAAATCAGTGATTATCGATACAAGCACTAGGATAGACAGTAAGAAAAACTCTTATCAATGTATTCGAAAAGAATTAACTAGGTTGTATTTCACAAAACCGCATTAAATATATGAACCCCTGTACAACTTCCAATATTAAGTATAAATTGAATTGAGTTTTAGATATGAACCAAATCACTGAGAAGTCAATAACGAAAATCAATTTATACTTCTTGGTGAAAATCATTTTATATCTTGTAAACTGAAACATATGTAGTAACAAATGAATACGCTTCAGAGTAGTACAGAATAAGTTTAAACGATTCGAAAACACTAGGTTGGTAGAGACATAACTCTGGTGACGAGCACTTAAAATTCGAATATGGAGTTCCAACTTTTGTTACTAACTGGATCATTCCCAAAACTGAGATTACAATTGATACTAGTGAATCAGTTAGGATACATCATGAATTAACGCAAATTAAAACTGCCATTTATTGGAACAAGAATCAATGGTTTAATAGTTTATCGATTTTAGGGGATTTGTGGAGATCGCAGTATTTTCGAAGTTGAATTCACGAGTCAATCTAAGCTAGACCATCATCAAAAACCTGGAAGCACTTGACGACGACTCCTCAGCAGTGTGCATCCACGATCCCGCGCGCGAACGCCTAACCTCTAGTTTGTATCCAGGCCGAAAAGCCTGGAAATAGGAGTCTTGATTGAAATAGAACAACTTATACGTATCCTGAGGAGTATTAAAGAAATCAAACTGTAAAGCACTTTAAACGGTTGGTTGTTTCCCTTGGGCTAAAATTTATTTATTAATCAATAGTTTTTTTCAGTTTCATTAATAATAGTACCATGCAAGTATTTAAGCAGACAGTGACTAATATTACTAGCAAACATAACATCGAAAAGAATTTCGTTAGAATAGTTGATCAGTAAGCTTAAAACTTCCAATAAAAGTTTAAGAATACCGTTGGAAATTTTTGATCCGCCTCAAATAACAAGGAGAATGTGATTTACCAAGTGATTAAATATTACTGGAGTATTTTACTGAAGTGCCAGTCATCGAAATATTATAATATGTTCATTAATTTTAATGTGTATTCAAAACTCGGAATGATTTGAACTAAGTATGATTAGGCGTGAAGAGGATTCTTTGGATGTTAAATGATTTTCGTAGTAATATTAGCGTTACACTTGTTTGATGAGCAACATATATTTCTGAATGTGCTTAAATTGTATTCACGTATTAATCGAGTAGAGGGATAGTTGAAAACGTTTAAATATCTACGATACATCATATACATTTAAAAAATCAGATTACAGGAAACCAGAACATACCTGCTCAGGAACTGGTTCAAGTGGAGGAAACCCAAAACACGAAACTAATGCTTTAACTGCTTCCCAACCTACACCATGCATAGGCGTATACACAAAAGGGGTTTTGCATTTTATATTTTCAGATCTAATAATTAAAACCAAAAGTAAGGAAAATAAAAAATATACTCTACAAATTAACTACAGACCATTATAAATACGTTTTACTTCGAAGGAAAGTTGATTAATTGTGTTCAGCCTATAAACTTTTTTCATACAGAAAACAAGAATGTATACGAGTTGAATTCAAAATACTAATCAATGTCACTGTCAAGTTCTCAAGGATGATAGAACTAAGACGTGCCACACATCGACATACTGTATTTGATTTTAGATGATAAGAAGGAATCGACCGTTTTGAGCCCTGAAGGATTATGTTGTCCTTGAGCTGTATGGTCGGACCTCTCGAGATAGTCGAAATTGGTGGTTACCACTGGAGCTAACAAATAAGTACTAATATCCAGAGTTTCAGTCCTGAACATCAAGGATTTAAGCTGACAGAAAATAATTTCCTTGAGACCTTAAATATACTCAGAATGGCTTCGTCGCATGGCTTATAGAACTAGCAGTATCAAAAAACAATGCTTGGAATAGCTTAATAATTCCCAAAATCCTATGAATAAACTAAAATACCAACCACTGTAATACTGAAACTTTGATGGTGATCGGGGACTGTCAAATTTTGTGTAACATGGTTAATAAATCGGCAAAAGAAAAATTGTGAATCATTTTATTCCATCAGAGACGTTTTTAAGGGCAGAATAATGGGTGGTTTGAAGTTTTCCAAGAATATGAACGTACAATAATGGTGGACTAGATTCGGAAGACAAACGATGGAAAAGCTACAACAAACTGCTTCAGAAAACATTTCAAATAAATAGATATATTATTTCTTTTCGTTAAACATTTATCGATGTACGTAGGAGGCTATCTAGTCACAGATTAAGGTAGATCCATCTATCAAATATTTTTACCCTACTTTTTGTAAACTAGGAATTATATATATATATATATATATATATATATATATATATATATAGTAAAGCAAACACAACTTACTCTGTAAAACAAAGTCTACTCTTCTGTAGTCGACAGTAAGTTTTCAAAAGCCTAGGCATTGGATCTAAGCAGAGAGGATTCGCCTCAATATTATCTATGTTCCATGAAGTTTCCAAAGGTACCAAGCTTTCAAGGATGCAACTTGATATACCACTGTCATGGGGACTGATTATCTGACATCCATTCGACCAGTAAACCTTTAAAAAGCTAGGTTAAGAAAGCTATACTTACTTTGTAACCATTGTCATCTTTCGGATTGTGTGATGCAGTAATCATAACACCCAAGGCTGTTTTGAAAAGCCTAACACCAAATGCGACCATAGGAGTTGGGAATGTATCTTTGAACAAGTACACTTTACAGCCAGCATTAATAAATATATTAGCGACAATAAGCGCCCATCTAGATGGATAGGACATATTAGTTGGAAAACGATTACTTTTTGCTATTATGTCGAGCATCATAACCAACTATAATTCCATCTGACTTGAGACCTGAGAATGTTTTTAGCGAATACTTAAGTAAACCCTTGAAACTGATAGGGATTAAGACTAATTTTCACTACCTGAGTTGTTTGTATAATTGTTAGGTCATTCATCTGAGAATATCCTGGTCCCATTCTTGCTCGTAATCCTAAAAAATATCAGTGAAACTCTAAACTATGCGAACCAGCAGTCCCAAATGCCATTCTTTCTAGCAATAACTTTCGTAACTCATCCCACGCTTCTTTATCTTTCAGTAACTTGATTTGTGAGCGAGTGTTTTCATTCTTAAGCAAAATCGATACCATAAAAACGAAAAGGCAGTTACCTTGTCATGCTTCATCCATTCTTCAATAGATTCAGCCAGTTTTTTATCCATGTAGGAAGCCTGAAAAAAAATCAGCACCCATAAGGTCTTCAGGTACTACAATAATCCAACTAGAAATAGATTACAAAGGTGAAACATGTAAAAATCCAGTAATATTGACACTAACTAATAGTCTCCAGTAAGCTGACAATATTTAGTTACAAACTATCCAACAGACTTAGTTTAACCCTTTAACAAAGTGTTGAGTTTCATTGGCGTATTTTAGTGTACTGAGTAGACATGATTACTTCCAAGGAAAAGATATTTATTTACTATAAAGGTAATAGTATCATCTTTTGTCTTCTGACTGGTACTTCTACATTTTGCTTCCACTTTCTTCTACTATCCTAGTTTTCATAGTAATATAGACAGCACATCTCTTATGGCTGAGTTTTGAATGAAAGACAGAAACAAAAGCACGTTACTTACAAAAGACAAGAAACACCTATTTATCCCATTCAACACCGATATGAATGATAGTTAACTGATAGTTGAGTAAAGTGAGTAGATATGTAAATCTACATGAAACCAAGGGTCAAAAGTTAAACGAATGAACATCCGAAACAGAACTATTTAATTGTACATTGCTAGAAAAATAAACCCATCGCTTAAAATAAAGAAGTCACCTGAGATAACAAGACTACAGATTATCTGTCACGTAAACAATTAATCGAGAAACGAAATAAGGATCATCTAACAACTAATTACGTTGAATTCTAAGATACGGAAAAATAAGTCCGATATACAAGTATTTAACTTTTAGGGGAGGCTAGGAGGTACATCCAAATACACTAATCAAAGAGAACACAAAACCCAGAGCAAAACGATGAGAAACCTCAATTTGGTGAAAAAGGATGAAACAATTTGCGATATGACAGTAAAACTACACAGGTAATGTTTGTTCAGTTAACTATTCAAAAGTCAGTCAAGATACCACACGACGCAGAGACGGACAAGAGAAAATAACATGTTCGAAATCACATCACTACTGATACATAACCCTAGGTTAAGCGGAAAATTAAAAGGCAGAAAGTCATTTCTATATAGCCACTGAACTCATTAAAGCTCCAATTAATTGTAAAACAATCACTTGTGGGATGGTGGAAAACAACAAATATCAGGATAAACAAAGAGATTGTATATAAATCTCATTTAAAAGGAGATAACCATTTTCAAACGTTAATAGGAAAAAAGAATATCAGCTTTAAAACCCACAAACCAAAATGTTTCATAAACAAATATATTGAATTACAAATAAAATATAAAGACCACAAAATAATGGGTACGAAAACTTTTACAGCTTAAAATATAACATATAGAGTTGGTTCATATACAAGATAAATCAATGTCTATGAACTTTTGTGTACTGAAACGTCCTTTTGAATTATGGTGCCATGTACACAGTTCAAGACGAGAAACGATATGGAAAGTGAATAAATTCGGTAGAAGACTAGCACATCCTATTCCATAAAACCCACGAGATTATAATAAAATTGAAAAGCTTACGAGGATTTTAAGAAAAGGGAAAGGCTCACAAAACAATATAGGGGAAGTTTAAATAAATATTAGGTATGGGTAGATCGTGTCCGAATCAAATGCGTCATCAGTGAATAACCGGATGGATTTTGAATTATCATATGTACAAAACAGATTAAAACGTCACGGTGTTCGCCAAGTCGTTAAGAAGTTTTCCGATTCAAAGGGCTAAATAACTAGTAGCATTTGAAGTATACTAATAAGTAATTAAGGATAGCGAAAATTTCATACAGGTTCTCTACGGAAAAACTATCATCACTTCAAGTAGTGTTTACTTTCGAAATGTACATCACTCTACCAGAGATTCAAAGGATTTACAACGTACGATATCCGATGTGTAGTGATTTTTATTCTGCTCATAGAGCGCACACGACAGACATACGCGTTAAATTTAAATGAAAGGATTTTTATGCAACAAAATGACTAAAACTCGGATGACGGTTGAGCATTTTCACTTTACTTGATGTGCAGCCTTTATATAACCTAGGAATACACCAACAGAAAACCTGAAATTAATTTGGTTTTGCACATTAGCATTCGTTTATTACCTCGGAATATTTACCCACAAAATTCTTTAAAGTATTCCTTTTTGCCCAAGCTCTAAAAGAGTAGCAAACACTGATCGAGAACACTGGATATGACCAGGAGTGATATACTCAGCTCTAGATATTGGAATGCACTTCAAAGTCAATCCCAACTGAAGTTCGTATTTAAAACCTACTACTATTACATAAATCTGTTTCCACATTGGTTAGTTACAGATCAATGATAGGTCAAACTTCACAAGGAATTGATAAGGCAGGACTAAACATGAGGCACTTAGATAAGGGATAATTCTGAAAATTCTCTCAAGACACATACGTACGAGCTAGGAGGATTGAAGTTCAAAACACCGAAAGAGTAACCAAAATCTCAGACTTACTCGGACGCAAAATATTTCTACAATTATATAGGCTTATATATCCGGACGAGAACCACTGAAACCGCTACAGAAAAGCCAAAAGTGTTCAAACAAAACAAAGACTCTATTCAAAATAAAATCTTAAAATCGGCTTCACTATTTTTGTGGTTACTGTAATAAATATTTAGGCCGTGGTTCGAATTCGAAAAGCTGTTTAGGCTTATCCAAGCACATAAATAAATGGTAACAAGTGCACCAGGACTTTGTGATTGTTGCAAAATATGGAAGCAGAAGATCACATGGTCACCTTATGTACAAACCAGTATTTTCAAAGCAGTGATCACTGAGTGGATTTTATGAAATCATCAATGTCCTGGAAAATGGTGCGAATTAAAAAGCAAAACAACAATACGACTTTAAAACCAAATGCGTACTTTAATTAAGGAGTACCAAATGATCAGTAGAAATATACACCCACACTGCGCGATAAAATGAAAGACACAAGAAGCGTCACTTCTTAAATGCGCGGAAATAGAGAGTTGGCCTTGAAAATGCCAAGGTAGGTTGTGTTTAAACCTACCTTATTAAATTAACCAATTCTTTAGTAATATTCCCATCTAATAAATTGTCTTCTGTGAAAGTCAAGTTGTTTCTCGAACGCTTTTATCAGTAAAGCAATGCTTCCTGTTCATTAGAGCGCCTCAGTCATTCATCACTCGATGAGACAAACAAAGCCGCACCTTGAGATTATGAGACCTCAGTTTTTGAACCTTCTGCAGATGATCTCGAAGAGACACATGATAGGAGATATTGACACCCAGATAGTTTTTTAAGGTACATAATATCAATATTATTGGCCAGGACTAACACAGGCCATTTAGCCTCCTGTTCTTTCCAAACTAAAACTGATTAGACCATCTCCTGTTCTACATCAACATAAGTTGAAAGCATGTAGGCATTTCAGCAGCTCGTTGTAAAAGAGGTAGAAGAGCTCTTCCCAAACTCATTATATAATATATGAACGTAATCAATGGTACATACATCATATTGTCTTATTATAACATGCATATTAACAACAAATCATTCGAATAGTTATTCTGTAGCAATCCTATTATGTTGCCAACCCTAAAAAGACTATTTGATTCTAGGACCCTCAGTATTTTTATCATATTTTTCCTAATCTTGTGATGATTGTCCTGGTCAGCGAACATTATATCCGCGGTTACAAACCCGGTTATAGAAGGAACTCATCACATATTTAAGGTCATACACTTGGTCGACTTTGCTGACGAATTCATTTTATAACAGGTTCATGTATATTTTCTCACAAAAAGCCAAACTTCTGTTTACTTGCATTTTCGTGCCTAAGATGTCTTCCTTCCAAATTACTAACCCTTTCAGGAAGCAAAATTCATGAGTAAATGAACACTTATCACTTGTAATTGTGCATTTACTTTTGTGTTTGATTATTTTGCACAAAAAGTGAATCACTTCTTCAGGTTTGACTGACTTTCAGCACTTTTTTTCGAGAAAGATCCATCATTATTTTTAACTTGAGGGCGATTCAAGAGGCAGGTGAATAAGTACATGAAAGTCGAACAGAGCTTGAAAAAGTCGTACCTCATCAGCATATTGTTGGGAAGCCTACTCACAGCACTTTCTCAGACGCTCTTGCCTCTTTTTCTTACTTTCCATTCACTTAATAACTCTCGTTCCTATGTAGATGACTCCTGCTGCAAATCATGGGCAATAATTTGTGGGACAAAGGTATATACTACCGAGATATATTAACAAGCCAGTAAAATAGGTGCATGAAATCTATAGACCATCTTTGAATGGTGATTAAGTGGTGGTTGCCATCGACTGTATAAGAAAAAGGTCGAAGATTTGATGAGTTAGTGATTCCGCAATACCTTGCGGAAACCGAACCGTCATGTTTACCTTAATAAATTGATCGAGCCAAAATTACTTACATTACATTGATCACCAGTCGGTGAAAAACATATTTGTAACATCGACATATTACAGCTTAAGTGGTTATTTACTTCCTTGTTCTGCGTAGGCATCATATTTCTTATTATTCTGTATTGAATGTTGAAAACACTGTGTGTTTGGAAAAGAGAAACTCGCCCCCGAACTCCCATGTTCCATGGTCTAGACAAGAACTGTAAATAAATCCCCAAAATAAATATTTCTGTGCACCTTCAACATTGATTCTAACCCAATTAATTTATCTAGACACAGCTGAAATCGCTCGGTCCCTCACCTGCACCCGATCACGAGTGCGTACGATGTGTCACGCATCCCTTACAACTGTCAGCCAGTTTACACTAAACGCTTCCTAACATAGTGAAAACTTTCCAACGATATTTTCGAACCCTTTCATTTCCGACTTCTGATTTTACTGTGTTGGTATACTTTGATTATTAAGGTGTTATATGTAAAGACGTCGTCAAACTCCGAATGACTGTGGCATCCATAATACCTATTAACTACTAGTCCGGATTTTTCTATAGATAGAACGAGGGTTACAAAACTCTAATTCCTTAAAAACCAACCGATTTCATATTCTTTAATAATTTTGTTTATTTGTTGTCATGTAGCTCTGATGGTGACGCGTTGAAGTAAAAATTGAGTTATATGATCTATTCAGGACTTATATATTTATTCTCATCTACATTTGTTTAGAAATCATGCCACCTTATTCACTGAATGATTGAGTTCTGATTAATTCAGAAGTACGAGTTCTTCACTGAACAATTTGAACGTTATTCAAATTGATCACCCAGAACTTTCGAAATTTCATGCATGACACTTCTTCATAGGTGCGTCCCAAATTGTAAATTAAAAACCTGTAATTCACGAATAATTTATCTGGTAGTCAGTATGTTTGCACGACACTTATTATTTTATAACCGTAATGATTTTACGGTATGCACAAATTTCGATCAAGTCAAACAATTTCGAATGTTTTATTAAACGTATTTGTATTATTCATAAATGAGATTGTATACATACTTAATAAATAAAAAACATAGTGAAGTCATCAATTTCTCTTGATCAAGGTTGGTAGAATTTCAAAGCAAACAAAGATATATGTGTGAAATGCAACAAATTACAAAATTCAAGCAGCAAATGTAACGAAATGAATCAGATAATACTATTTGTATATATATATATTGAAAATGTCACAGGTATTCAGTGTTTGACAATGCTTCTACCGGTAACACCTTCTAACGTATTTCGTACCCGCCCAGAGAAATCAAAAGACAGAGTCGAGGGGATCGGAAGAGTATATTTGGCGACGACCAATATATCGGAATTCTCTGATCTAATCTGGCTAGCGATCGCGGTTGATGTTGAGCACGGCGTTACCACACGTGATCTGGTGCGGATGACTGACCGAGCGCCTTCAGCTAGGTGAGTCCACTAAAACATATGGTCAGCATCCAATGTCGAAAACTTAGTGCTATTTATTTTGGGGATTTATTTACCGCTACAGATCACTCCCCCCCTAGTGGGGCAGTGACGACCCTAAGACGTGGCCAGCCAGAAGTTTAAACCCAACGAGTTTGTCGTTGGTAAACACTCTTCTGATAGCTTACTAAATTTAGCAGCGTCTGGTCGTCTTTCCTTACTATATGGGACGGAGGTACAACATAGTAAAAAAAGAAAATGTACATGGAAAATTTCGGATCCTCATAAACGTCATCGTTCTTTTCCAGCCGTCCTGGAAAAGAAAAAAGAAAATGTAAGTGCATGTCGAAATACACTCGTATGTGCGTAAAAGCACAATGTCGGCGGAAAAAAAAAGGAAAATAAACTCATGAACACGTAATAGCGTTAAAAAAATTGTTTTTTTTGTTTTGTTTTTTTTTTAAATAGAAATAAAAATATATAAGCATATTAAAATTGTTTTTTTTTTTTAAAAAATAATATAAAATGTCGAGAAGTGCCTTACGTGCAATAGTCGTTTAGATGTTCTGGAAATCTCACCCTTCTTCCAGAACGCGTCGTTTTAAGTTTATTTTCGGATACTGTCGAAGTATCATCGTGTGTGTTGGTTGTCGGATGAGGTATTATAAGTGTCGGAGTCGTGTCGTTCAATTGTACCGAAGGAAAATCCACGTAGATAGGATTTCCTTCTAAATACGCTGCTTTTAAGCGATCGATACTGATGCTATCGTTGGTTCCGTTCTTATCGACTATATAGTACTTAGATTCACGTTGAAGAACTTTGAAGGGTCCTTCGTATGCTGATTCGAAGGGTCGTCGATGCGAGTCTCGACGAACGAAAACGTGTGTACTATATCGTAAGTCAGGTTGAACGAAAACATCAGTTGATTGAGGTCGGGTGGAAGCAGGTTTAACTGAACGCATTGCGTTTGTAAGCCTGTTCGTGTAGGAGGTTAGATCCATGTTCATTGAAGAGGATGAAGGATCCACGAATTCTCCTGGAAGTCGAAGTGTCGTACCATAAACGAGTTGAGACGCAGTGTATCCAATGTCAGCTTTCACTGCATTGCGGATACCTAGTAAGACGAGTGGAAGAGCGTCGGTCCACTGTGAAACGTTTGCAGCTGATAGCGAAGCTTTCAGTTGTCGGTGAAAACGTTCTACCAACCCGTTTGCTTGTGGATGGTAGGCGGTCGTTCGGAAGCGAGTGATTCCTAAAAGTGTGGTCAGACGACGGAAAAGATCAGATTCAAATTGACGTCCGCGGTCTGTAGTGATGGTTGAAGGGCAGCCGAAGTTTGCTACCCATCGTTCGACGAAGGTGCGAGCCACTGTTTCAGCAGTGATGTCCTTGATAGGTACTGCTTCTGGCCATCGAGTGAAACGGTCTACGCAGGTTAAGAGATAAGAGTATCCATTTGAATCTGGTAAAGGTCCTACCAAATCCAAATGAACATGGTCGAAACGAGCATCGGGAGTTTTAAACGAGCCTAAGGGGGATTTATTGTGTCTGATAACCTTAGATTTTTGGCAGCTTACACAGGAGCGTGCCCACTCCCTCACGTCTTTATTCATTCCAGGCCAGCAAAACCTTTCTGCTATAAGCTTGATGGTTGCACGAACACCTGGATGCGAAAGTTTGTGCAATGTGTTGAAGACATTGCGTCGATAATGTTTCGGCACGATTGGGCGATCCCTACCTGTAGATGTGTCACAAAGTAAGGTTTCCTTACCTGTTCCCATCTGTTTGATGCGTAGTTTTAGTGTTGTGGACGATAACTCGTGCTGAAGATCACTGTCTTCTTTTTGAAGCTCGGCGAGTTTAAGAAGGTCGATTCCTTGGAAACTGTTCAAGGAAGTTATACGAGATAAAGCGTCTGCAACTACATTGTTTGCTCCAGAGATGTGTTGAATATCTGAAGTAAACTGCGAAATGTAGTCCAGTTGTCGAGACTCACGGGGAGAGTACTTGTCAGAAGGAGAGCTTAACGAGAAAGTGAGCGGTTTATGGTCCGTGAAAAGAGTGAATTCACGACCTTCGATGTAGTGTTGGAAATGCCGTACAGCACAATACATAGCTAGGAGTTCCCTACCGAATGTGCTGTACCTCGATTCGGTGTCTAGCAACCTTCTAGAGAAAAATGCCAAGGGTTGCCAGGAGTTGTTAACCCATTGTTGTAAGACTCCTCCGATTGCTGAGTCGGATGCGTCTACTGCGATGCTAATGGGTGCTCGGGTGTCCTGATGTGCGAGCATTGTTGCTTTAGCAATCAGTTCCTTAACTGTGGAGAATGCTTTTCGTGCGGTGTCGTCCAAATTAATGGATTTCGCATTTCCACGAAGTTGGTCGGTTAGAGGTTTCATAAGTATTGCGCATTTGGGTATGAAACGTCTATAGAAACTTACGAGGCCGTTAAACGTGCGTAATTGCTTGACGGTGGTCGGTTCTGGGTAATCCAGAATGGCCGCCACTTTGGTCCTAAGAGGTCGAATGCCTTGAGCATCGATAGTGTGTCCTAGGAAGTCTAACGAGTTGGTTCCGAATTGGCATTTCTGAACGTTTACAGTTATGCCATGTTTTTGAAGTCGTTCGAAAACAAGATCCAGATGCTTGAGATGTGTTTCTCTGTCCGGACTTGCGATTAGACAGTCGTCAACATACGCGTGTACGAAGTTGAGACCTCGAAAAACGTCGTCTATGAATCTTTGGAATGTTTGAGCAGCATTCCTTAGACCGAAAGGCATTCTCAAAAATTCATAGAGTCCGAAAGGAGTTATGATAGCTGTTTTTGGTATGTCGTCAGTAGCCATAGGGATTTGGTTATACGCTTTAACCAAGTCGATTTTCGAAAAGACAGTTGTACCTTTCAAGGTAGCTGTCAAATCGTGAATGTGAGGCAACGGGTAACGATCGGGAATGGTTTTCGCGTTCAATCGCCGATAGTCACCAGTTGGACGCCAATCGTTGCTGTCCTTTTTAGGGACCATGTGCAACGGAGATGCATATGGGCTACTTGACGGTCGTATGATTCCTAAGTCCATCATGTGATCGAATTCGCTTTTCGCTAACCTTAGCTTTTCAGGAGCTAGTCGGCGTGCTTTAGAAAATACAGGTGGTCCTGTAGTCGTGATGTGATGTGTAACATTGCTGGTTACACACGGTAGTTTCGTTTGAGTTTGTTGTATCTCAGGGTACTTATCGAGTAGTGGTTGATAGAGTGGGTCTATCATATGTTTAACTGTGACTGGGGATACTCTACAACCAGTAAAAGAAGTTACGTAAACGGACAAATTAGTGTTTCCGTCTACTAGCCTCCGTTTGCGAGTGTCGATGATCAGATTGTGGTGTTGTAGAAGGTCCATACCAATGATTGGCATAGAAACATCTGCAACAACGAAAATCCAGTGGATGGGTTTGCGTAAACCCACGTTAAGGTAAACGTACCTTTTGCCATACGTAGCGATCGGTTTTCCATTTGCCGCCTGTAAGTTAAAAGCCGACTCCTGAAGCCGGTCGTTAGGATTTGCTGGGAGAACGCTAACTTCTGCGCCAGTGTCGACGAGGTAACGAACTCTCGTTGTCACATCTGTGATGAATAACAGACGGCTTTGTTCGCCGGCTACGGTTGCCGTTAACGCGTGCCGGCTTGGAAGTTTCCCGAATTGCTTTTCGAATCAGTCGGTTTCGTGTTGGGAAAATTGCAGGGTTTTCTGCAATTTCTGGAAAGCTTTCCATACTGGTTATGATACCAGCACCAGTCTGGGTTATCTGTCTCTCGTGGTCTAGAGACAGATCGCTTACGAGAAATGCTTCTACGTGGTGTGCGCGATCTCTTACGGTCGTTACGAAGACTAAGATAACGCGTGAGTGTGTGACATAAGTCGTTTATATCATTCTGAGTCGTTTGAGGTTTTTCTTTAACTGAAAATACCTCGGTAGTAGATTTCGTAATTTCTAAAATGCGGTCGGCAGATGCAGCTAGCTCGTCTAAGGCGTTGTTCTGGAACGAGACCAGAACTGCTTGCACCTGTTGGGGAAGTTTTGACAAGAAGAGTTGTTTAAATAGACCTTCGTCGAAAGTTCTTGGGCCTATAACCTCTCTCATCCGTTGCAACATGTCTGTCGCAGAACCGTGTTGCAGGTCGATATTGTTGAAGAGTTGATCTAACCTTTGTCGATCGGTTAGGTCTCCTCGTTTAAGAATCGAACGTTTTAAGATTTCGTAAGGATCGGAAACATCACTAGTAAACATACTAGGTGTTACGTACCTGTTGAATTCGCGCGGTAGTGCCTTGACTACTGCGAGGAATTGTGCACGTGTGTCGATCACGCCGTGCTCGGAGAAGTCGGCTTCTGCGTAGCAAAACCAGGCTTCGATGTTGTCGGGCCAGAAAGGCATGAGTTGAAACGAAGGTGGGGACAAAGTCTTAAGCTTGAGTACTTTAGGTGTCTGTTCAGTCATGATGAAGTATGAAGTACGATAATGAACAAGAGGAAAATATATATATCCAGGAAAAAAACACGAAAAAAAAATCACAATGTTTAAAAAAGTTAAAAAAATAAGGCAATGATATATAAAAATCCCAAAAAGGAACAGACTCACAGTTGCAATTAGGTGTACCAGATCACGTCGGTTTCACCAATGAAAATGTCACAGGTATTCAGTGTTTGACAATGCTTCTACCGGTAACACCTTCTAACGTATTTCGTACCCGCCCAGAGAAATCAAAAGACAGAGTCGAGGGGATCGGAAGAGTATATTTGGCGACGACCAATATATCGGAATTCTCTGATCTAATCTGGCTAGCGATCGCGGTTGATGTTGAGCACGGCGTTACCACACGTGATCTGGTGCGGATGACTGACCGAGCGCCTTCAGCTAGGTGAGTCCACTAAAACATATGGTCAGCATCCAATGTCGAAAACTTAGTGCTATTTATTTTGGGGATTTATTTACCGCTACAATATAACTACTGACAACACATATAGGTGCTCTGAGGAAACTAAGAACATGGCATAAATGAACTCAACGGAAGGCACCAGTACCAATAAGATGGTGGTTGGAGGTAGTCGACAGGAAACCGTAGACCTAGATTTCGTGCTTCCTGACAAACTAATGCTGCAAGTTGTCGATCATGCCTTAAAAATAGCGTAACTCTACCCTAGCAAAAAAATATTATTATCAACTTCACAAATCTTGTCTCCTGCTAGATCAATCACATCTGGTTTGAGAACTCTGAAATGTCACAATTAATGGGATATTCAGTCTAAGATAAAGTTGTATTAGTTTAAATGAACAAAATATATCCCTTAAACGATTTAAAACGCCCTTTTATTTCGCTAGACGTACATAGGAATCATTATTTGTACGGTTTACAAACTCACTGAGATGAAAACATGCTAAAGCCAGTATATCTTGGTTGTACAAGTGATACAGTTAACTCAAATACCATGGAATTCAAGGGATGAAATCAAAATCTAATAGTTGATCATTATTTATAAGGCTTTTTCCATCTACTGAACCAATGAAATGCTTTTTTAGGTACATTATGACAGTATGCTCAATGATTGTGATATATTTAAAGTTCATTTTTATTTTCCCCTACTTCACACATCTAATTCTTACTTAGAGGATCTTACTCGACTTCACAGTTGAGCAGACAACAGCGGACTTACCTTTAACTCTCAAAAGTGTAAAGAAGTCCGTCTGAGGTGTGTTGGAGACAACGAATACAGCTCGGATTACTCCCCCTTAGAAATATCTCAAGTCGAAAAGAGTACAGAAACATATTATTTCACCCCTGACTACACAAAAATAAGGATATTCTGGAACGTATCCAACGGCAAGCCATAATACCAGTTCGTGGACTCAAATTCAAGTTTTATCAAGGTCAACTCTAATCACTGAACGTTCACCCATCAGAGTACAGGAGTCGTGGGGTTGACCTAGTGATTTATAGCATCTTAAACACTTTTAGTTATTCCCTTAAGCTTAGTCCCTACACAAGCGTTGGAGTAACACTTGTAGTGTCAGTCATTATTTTAAGCCCATATACCTTATTCTAGTTTTTGGACAAACCAATCTATTCATTCTACTTGAGTCATATTTTGACCTTGTCAATTATTCGCTTATCAGTCTTGACTGTTTTTATATGGGCGTATATGTGTGTGCCGTTCTTATTCCATTAATCACATGTCTGTATCTTTATTTTGTCTGACTATAAATATTGAGTAACGCTTGACTAAAATGGAGTTGGCTTCCCAGCCATCTTCCATACGTGTCATTTTGCTTTGCTCAATTTCATTTGCTTCATGTACAAAATATATGTACTCACAAGTCAATTCTCGTTATTCGACTTATTTAATTCCGTTATTGACTAACGCGATTCAAGTCGACCATGATATACGAGAATAGGCGATAACAATCATTTATACGATCTTGGAGTCAGATCCATGGGCCGCTAAACACTCGGAAACTGGAAATGCAACACACCTGAGCGGGCTGTAGGCACACCTTTTATTCCTTGAGAGTAGTTAAGTGTTGGAGTGCGCTACTGGCACGGTTATTCCACGCTACTTCTCAGGAGTCCTTTTATGAGAAAATCTGACATGGTCTTAAGAAATAAGGACGATATCTTTCCATAGTTTACCAGATCCTATTTTTGCGGTACTTGTTGTGATTAATTCGCCCTTGTGTACGTGTTACGTCAAAAACATTATTGACCTAACTTGAAGTATTTCAATTAAGGTTCAATCTTTTGCTTAATTTCGTCTTCTGGCCATTTATTTCTCTTTGGTTCTGATACTTGTGTTCATATTGTGTTTTGGACCTTCTTAATCTAATTACATTGGTTGGTAGTACTTATAAATGTGGACAGCCAAATCACTCGTTCCCTGTGGAAGAAGGAATACAATATGATGAGTGTAAGAAGTGGTTCCATAAGATGTGTGACCGTTTAAGTTCCATCGCATACAAAAGATGCTTGAAGCCTAACACTCATTGGCTTTTTATGTTTTTCTGTAAGAAGAGAGATGATGGCTGTGCAAGTAACACGAGTACTGACAGTGAAATATGTGTCAATACAGTACATGCTGTTAACGGAGAGTGAAGCGCCACTTGATATGGATATGGGTGGTCATGCATCTACAGTAGAAATTGAGGAACTGGATAAAACCATCACCGTTCCTAATAGTCTCGGTGTATCTGTCCAGAGTGATGAAAAATGGACGATCGTATGGCGAAAAAGAAGTAAAAGGTGAAAAACTAAAAGCACCCACTTGGTTGGCAAGTCATTGGCGAATTCCCATTCCGGGTTACTTATTGTATCTGTGACAGAAAAATCAGTTAGTCCACGGCTTTGACATTACTCCAGAATTATCCGGATTCTGTTACATAAGAAGTAAAAGACATAGATGTAGCACAGGAGGTGGTGTCCTTCTATATATAGCTTATAACGTAAATATCTGCTTCTTTGCTTGCGAATCTCACGATAGTGGAACTTGCAAAACCATTAGCTGTGAGATATTTATATTTATACTCAATGTCATCTATCACAGTCCAATATGCTTGGCCGGTGGCTGTATTTTAGAGAACATTGTGGGGCTCTTTTTTGTTATTATTTATAACGGATGATGTTGTCAAAGGGCTCTCCACTCTAATGGCCCGTGGTCTGACTCGAAGTGGTCACACAAAAATACGTTACAGACATGTGATGAATAGGATAAGAAATCTACACACATATATGCGCTCCTATAGTAACAGTCAAGATCGATAGGAGAATAATGTGACTCAAGTAGAATGGATAGATTGAGCCGTCCGAAAGCTAGAATAAGGTATATGGGCTTAACATAATAACCGACACTACAGCATTCAGCTATGGAGTGCAAATAACAGATGCTTGATATTAGGAGACCATAATGCACCTGATAACTGTTGAACTGAAATGGCCATATCAGGAGCTATGAACGCCCTTGATAATAAGTTTCTGATAACGGTATTGGAGCATGCACTAGTACAGCATGTATTCAAACTTAAAGGCTCTTTGTTAGACTTTGTAATCACTCATACGACTGAACATATTGCCAATCTAAATATTCTTCCACCGTTAGACAGTAGCGATCACTCTGTCTTTTAATTCATGCTTAGAGCCTGTGACATGATATACGATCAGGTTAAGCCCCGCTCAATTGTATGGAGAGCTAACATACCGGCCACTCAGGAGAGCGCTATTAAGATGGATTGGTCAGTAGACACTAGTCCAGACTGTCAAGAGACTGGAATTACGGTATATAAGGCGGGGAGCAGATACTTGTTTATTAATTATCGACCCGTTACTATGACTAGTGCAGTTGTCAAACTAATTGAAAAGATTATTCGGATTGCCATTATAAACTATTTGGAAAGGTACGATCTTTTATCCAGGGGACAACATGGTTTTTGAAAGACCTATCGTGCTTGACAAATTTGCTCATAGCAAGAGGAGATTGGGCTGTAGCAAAAAATCGAAATATTCCTGTGGATATAATTTTTTTAGATCTAAGTATAGCCTTTGACAAGGCCTCTGCATTCAGTTCTTAAATTAAGAATGGAAATGTTTGAAGTCTGTTATAACGTCCTAAGTGATAAGAGACGGTGGGTAAGAGAAAATACAGTTCTCTCAGCGCGGGAACCCGTAAATAGTGGAGTCCCCTAAGGTACAAACCTTTGTCCTCTTCTCGTTCTACTTTATGTGAATGAATTATCAACTGCAGCAAATTCATCCGTTCTATTCTTTATCAACGAGAATGATTTGGAGACCCATGCGCAGTATGTAAGACAGAATAGTGTTACAGGATGATATCAGCTCATTTGTGGAATGGATGGACAGACGGTCATCAGAAGCGAGTTCTAGCAAGATTGTAGGGATGAAATTGCATGACTATGATGATTCATGTCACTACACAATACTTAGAATTATGTTACCCAAAGTTGTGGTCTATAAAGATTTAGGAGTCATAATAAACAACTACTTAAAAACTACGAGCAAATACAGAGCTGCTGCTGCGAAAGGCTTTTGATTATTATGGGCTACTCGTAGGTCTTTTCAGCAATTATAAAAAGAAATGTTTGGAGTAGTATACCCGACTTTCGCGAGATATCATTTAGCGCGTCTTTGTCTCAAGTATGAGACGGTTATGCAGGAACGAGTCCAATGACAAGGGACTAAAATTGTGTGGTGGAACAGACAAATATGAACGTGAAAAAGTATTAACCAATTTATTAGGAGTGAATAATAAGGTTAATTGTTACACATACAATAGGAAAGTTGGGACTTTAATTAAGTTCATCAAGTTGCTGTGTATTCGGATTGGGTCTGGTACTGAAAATCCACAATTATAAATGTTCGGTAATTCCGCTCAGGTTGTTGGACTCTCCAGTAATGTAAACCGATGTCAGGTATGATATATTCCGACTTACAGTCTATAAGTGCACATAATGTTTGATTTAGAGTGCAGTTAGCTCAATCACAAGCGAAAGTAGAATCAGGTATGTGTGTATATCAATATATTTGTTAGCAAACAACAGTATGTCACGCTATGTCAATAACACAACGGAAAGCGTGTTCGAGGTAATTCACTAAAACAACAGGTACAGTCATTTAATGATAAATATACACACAGTGAACGATTGACAAAATAAATACAAACAATATTAAAAACTGTCTACAAAATAAGCTTGTCAGGTCTATCTTCACATGGCTTCCCTCAGAGTGTCCGGGGGTAACACTGGTTATAATAACGAAAAAATGTAGGAATGTGATATATAGATGTATAGAAAAATAATGTTAACACTGGTAAAATGTGTCTCTGGCCTATCTTATGAAAACAGAATGAGACCCCTCAAATTATTTCCGTTATCCTACCGTAGAGTACAAGATGATCTAGTATTGGCCTACCGTATACTGAACAATGACGTTGGTATTAATATGCCTTATTTTTTCCTTCCGTCTAGGACTGATAATTTGAGAGGGCTTTTTAGGAGGTTCAAAATCGATGTTAGGTCGTTTACGTCTAGAGCTTCATTTCTCTCACAGAGTAGTAAATTACTGAAATCTCCTTCCAGAACACGTAATATCAGCATTCTTTGATGATATATTTAAAACGAGACTGGACCTTCACAGTGCTACAAAGTTCAGGGAATAATTTAAAACTGGAGATAACTATTTGAGCCAGTTAAACCATTTCATTTAGTTGTAATTCGTCAATTGCATTCACTGTGGAATTGAAAACATATTAGTTTATTCTTTATAGCGATTAACATACATTGGTTTTCTTTGTTTTTTCGTTTCGCAGTGAAGGTCTCAAAACTGAGCTCTTTTTGTCCTTGATACTTTACGGCGTTAAACAGGTAAATGCAAAACAGCAATCTAGTTGACGTTATTTCGTTGAATAAGCTGGTGCATATTATTATCCAGATTTTCAAAATTTTATGATCAGTGCTTCTGACTCACTCCTCTAGGGTTGTCAGCGATTCGAAAATCGGGATACAATGAGTTTTTTATACTGAAATTATCTAAACGAAGGTTATTGATCATAGTTCTTTGAAAATTTCTACTTATCGCTGAAACGATCACCTTAACACGTGGTTACACTACTCAGGTAGCATGAAATACTCGAGGCTTCTTGAAGCAAAGCATATACTTTGTTTATATATGCGTTAAAAAACTACTCGTTTTGTATCAGAATGCGTGATCTTACCGTCCAACTAACGTGAATTTTGTACAGTAGTTTGCTGTTCACGAGACCTAACGTATTGCTAAAACTTCCTTTGTACATAATCGATTTGTAGACTATCAACGTTGAAATGAAGTCAGTGTGCTAGGCGAACCAGGCATACTTTTCAAAACATGTTCCCGCTTAGTAAAATGTAAGTCCTCGAAACCGTGGTAGATTAGAAAAGCAAGGATTATTTGCATTCTCTAGGAATAGTTATATTATTTTGACTTAGCCAATTAGTAGATTAGTTTGAGGGCATCAGGTGAGTAATATGCGGACACAAATGTCTGACCAGAACCATAGAGATTGCTAAAAATTGGTGGCTTCAATAATTTAATCTTTGAAGCGTTTGAAATTTCATATTTTACGATGTAAGCTTCTATTTTACTTGATTTCACTGGACGTTAGATATATAACTTGGAGTTTGTCTTAGTTCTTTCTTATGGTATAGAAATCGCTAATAAATCTAAGACCTTTAATTAACTTGTTCCAAATTTTCCCAGATCGTTGATGTACGCAACATTCCTAAACATTACATTCTTTTACATGTTAAATAAATTGGTAGTTTCTGATACTACAATCTTCAGTGACACCTACTTTCTCGATTCCTTTTATCACATTCGTTCTTTTAACCGGTTACCTCGTGATATGTTCAGAAGCTTATTAACTTAGACTGATGCAATATATATGTTTTCTGTTGCTATAAACTTTGAAACAACAACAGCAGTGGATTGTCAGTCAATATTTATGTCCTCAATCGGGATATTAAAATCTGAAGGGTTATGAAATAATGTGCTGGGAAAATTCAGTCATTGGAAAGTTCAAATGCTTTAATGACTAACCGTAAGGATTTCTGAAATGTTTCAGTCAAGCTCATCCGAAGAAAAATCTAAGAAGGGAGCATATTTTTTTTATCTACGATTAGATGTTGTATTGATTGATGTAGGAAAAAGGCCCCCAAATGCCCTGGTACGGCCGAGAGTGGGGAGTCCGCTCTCCCCCTCGAAATGCTCTCACATGGCCACGCGTATATAGCCTCTGCCAGGGAAGTCCTGCTCACTGCCTTCTCGTGGCGGTGTTGTGTACGAAATTGAGAGGATAAAAAGCGAACGTCTGGTGCTTTAACCGGGTCGGTAGACGTAGAGTCCACCTAGGGGAGTTGGGAAACCCTGATTCCAAACCAATGGTGCATATGGGCTCCAGTATTCTGAAGGAACAAATGGCGTTTAAATCAGTCGTTTGTCCACGGCTACCATGGGACCGCATCTCCTTACGTTGCTTCACTGCCTTGTGGATCAGACCTTCAGGTTTGGGCACCCGGGCAGTATCACAGCCCTCACATAAACCGGATGATTCTTGTGGCGCATATGTATTTGGTGCCTAGTTGTACCAATATCTGTGTTAAAATAAATAAATAACGATTAGATACCAGCGATCCCATTACAGTGGTTCGGTTATACTCAGTTATTTCGGTGGGTTTTCAAAAATGATATTTGAGTGCGCGACAATAATAATTTCACCGTATTCGTTTGGATCCTCAAAATCTAACTGGGGTTTATGTAATGACTCGAAGAAACAACAAAGGTCACGATGGGCTGAAGACGGTTCGGGTCTCAGACTAACTTATTTATAGTGGTACTTTCATTGTGGCTATTAAGATGATGGCAGATAAAAGTTCAGTCCGGAAATATAAGGTATTTGACTCTTGTCATCTTACATCATCAGTAGTGTAATTAAATACTCTTCCTGGTTTTGGCTTTGGTATCAGATTGTGTAAAGACTACTCATAATTGAAACAGTTTAAATCTGCGATGGAGCATCAAATACGAGTTTTTAGACTTCTTTTTCTTCTACCTAATTGCAAAATGTTACTTTGGGATTGATTTGTATCATGACTTACTGATCTGTATTAGTAAAATAGTTGGTCTCGTTTACCACTTAAATTGTCGTCAGCGTTTCACCACTGCTAATTTATTATTGGCTGATAAAATCTCAGGAAATTCAGAAAGTTCACTTGGCTTTTTCCAACACCGCCCATGAAGTAGGCAAGACGTCTATTTTCTGAGACGATGCAGCAGTTCACTGTGTATTAATGTGGTCGTAAAAATGGCTCGTGAACTGGAAAACATGTGTAAGCTGCTGGAGTTTAACCTAGGTATTTTCGAGGCATTACCAACTTGTCGTGAAACAAGTGAGTAAGCATTGTCAGGGCTAGAACTAGGGCACTAGACGAAGAAAATAAGTTGGTTAATGCGGTGATATATTTTCACTGATTGAGGTGTCTGGACGTGTGCTGCGTATGTCCAACCACTGTCTTCTATGGTCCGTGTTGGCTGAAGCTAGGGACGGCGAAGCCAAAACGTGACATCAGTCCACAACGGTAGTGACTGTTCAATCAGGCCGTATTGATATATGCGGAATATCAGGTTGGAGTCCGCTCTAGAACTGCTATCATTTGATGGAGTCATCAAGATATGGCTCAGGATTGATCACTGCCTTTAATTAATACGCATTCTCTTTTCCTAGGTCTTCATATTCAATATTATTTCATGCTTTATGTTCCTTAGATTCGTTCCTTCTTTTTGAACCATATTATCTAATATTTAGTCTTCCTCACTGACATTGTGAGCACCATTACTTCGACTTTCTTGCCACATATCTTGCTAATTTATCCCTTACTGATATAATATGACATGGGTCGATACACATCTGTGGAAGTTTATTTATTTATTTATTTGAACACATGAATATTGGTACAAGAGAGCGCCAATATATATGCGCCACACAAAACAATGAGAATTCAAGAGAAGTAGAAAAAAAACTAAGGAGCGCAAAAGAAAAAGAGAACAATGACGAAGAGATTGAAGTAAGGTAGTGTGGTAGTAACGACGGAACGAAAAGGTACAATCAGAAGAAATCTTTCAGGTAAAGGAGACACAATCACTTTTTATGAAGAAAGTAAAAGAAGGTTACAGCAGGATCGCCACTGGCTTCTATTCTGAGCCATATCTGATGACGTCTCTAGCCACTGTGTAGCACCATCTCTCAGACCCCAACCAGGGAGTCGTGAAGGACCAACAGAAGCCAGTCCTTTGCAGCTTTCTTTCATCCCACGACACCATTTCATACACTGACTACCTCTCCGCTTTCTCCAGCCAGTCCCAGAGTCGGCAAATAATGCACGACGTGGAATTCTCTGGGACGACATTCGGAGAACATGTCTAAGCCACCGAAGTCGGTGTTTCAAGATGGTGACACCAATTGAATTATCATCTCTGTGCCCGAACACACGATGCCGAACCTCTGCATTACTGACATGGTGTTGCCACTGAATGTCAGCAATCCTTCGGAGACAGCGATGATCGAACACAGAGACTCGTCCAACGTCCTCAACTCGGAGAGACCAGGTTTCACAAGCATAGAGCAAAACTGCTCTCACCGACGCGTTGTAGATCCGGCCTTTTACAGCCAGACTAACATCACGAAGGCGCCAAAGGTGGCCCAGATTGGCATAAGCCGCTCTGGCTTTCACTATTCGTGCATTGATCTCATCACTCACACCCCCACCAGCACTTATGCAACTACCCAGATACACGAACTTCTCAACTACGTCTATCTGCTCACCATCCAGGGTGAGTACAGGATTAGAATCTTGCCAGTCTTGTAGAAGTACTTTGCACTTCGAAGGTGCAAAGCACATACCATACCTACGGACACTGATTGCCAACTGATTAAGTGCGGATTGCATGCCTTGGGCATTTTCGCACAGTAAAACAATATCGTCCGCATACTCAAGGTCGAGAAGTCTTTCTCCAGGCAACAGATCCACACCACCATTACTTACATTCGTCAGAGCTGTTTCCAGAATGTCATCGATGGCAAAGTTGAAGAGGAATGGTGAGATTGGGCAACCCTGCCTAACCCCACTGCTCGAATGGAACAATGGAGAGAGGTGGTTGTATGCCCTCACTCTGCTTGAGGTGTTTTTATATAGGGCTTTCAGGATGTTAATAAACTTCTCAGGCACACCCTTCTTCAATAGACAATCCCAGAGAACAGTCCTGTCCAACGAATCGAAGGCAGCCCTGATGTCAAGAAACACTACGATCGTTGGCCTTTGATAAGAATGGCGGTGTTCTAACATTTGGCGGAGGGTGAAGATATGATCAATACATCCTCGACCAGAAGGAAACCCAGCCTGCTCCTCGCGAGTCAATCTTTCTCGGGTTTTGAACAACCTACGAAGAATGACGGAAGCCAATAGCTTGGACGCAATCGGAAGTAAACTTATCCCCCGATAGTTGTTACAGGGACGACGTGAACCCTTTTTAAAGATAGGGACAACTATTGACTCATTCTATGACGTTGGTACACTCTCTAGTTCCCAAACCTTTGTAAACAACGTCGTCAATTCCTTAGTCAAAAAGTCACCACCATCTTTAAAAAGAGCCGGAGGTAAGTCATCTGGGCCAGGTGATTTGTAACGCTTCAAGAGTTGGAGTTCCTTGCGGACTTCCTTCTCATTTGGTGGATCAGTCGTCACCGGCCATGGAGGGCAGGACAGTCTGACCGATGTTGCCGGAGCAGCAGGTCAGTTGAACTGCCCTTCGAAAAATTCTGCCCATCGTCCAAGACGTCGATGGATGTTAGTGATTGGCATCCCATCATCCTCGTAGATTGTTTCACTCACACCAGACTTCTTGCTGCCAGTGGCTCGGATGAGCTGGAAGAGCTTCCGGTAGTTACCAGATGCAGCTGCTGCTTCCAGCTCATTAGCACGCATCGACCACCAGGCTTCTCGGTCCTTACGCAAGCTTTGCCCGATTTCCTTACGTAACATCCTTCGTTTATGGTCAAACTCACGGTCACGCGGAGTAGACCGACGGGCTTCAATGAGTTGTAAGGAACCAGAAGAAACCCAGTGCTTAAAAGCGGGATGTTTCGCAAACCCACAACTGACTGTTCCCGCCATTTTCATGGCGTCATGCAATTGCAACCAATGCTCATCTATACTTTTCGGTGGAGTGGTAGCTAGCCTAGAGGCTAGCTCGGTTCGATACTTATTTGCAACAGAAGTTGCAACCAGCTTGCTAACATCAATCTTTTGGTGGTGGTCACTTCGTTGGCCACTGAAAAGTAAGGCAAGATTGGCGCAGACCAAGGCATGGTCAGAGTCCAGATAGGTACTCCAAAAGGAGCGGCAGTCTTGTACACAACCACGCCAGCGTTAGCTGATCGCAATGTGATCAATCTGAGTCCAGGCTTGAGATGCAGAGGGAGGACGCCAGGTGGCACATCGGCGATGACTGTGCCGAAAGTTAGTGCTAGCCAGAAACAGGTTGTGGTCTGTGCAAAGTTGCAGTAGACGGTCCCCGTTATCTGACCTGCAACCAACGAGTCCCCATCGGCCACCTAAACGACTCTCTTCTGTGCCTAGACTCCCGACCTGAGCATTCAAGTCTCCGGCTAGTACTACAATATCTGTCGAACGCACTTTCTGGAGAAGAACTGATAACTGGTGGTAAAACTCATCCTTGATTGCATCCGGGCTGCAATCTGTCGGGGCATAGGCGGAGATGACGAAAAGACATCGTTTCTCACGCCGATTTCTTCTCACTTTGATGGAACTTTCTAATCTGACAGCACATAACCGACTGTTAATGGGGATCCAATCGACTAGTGCTGCCTCAGCTCTAGCGCTTAGTGCGACACCAACGCCAGCAAGACCAGACGAAGATGCCACAGGGTCCCCGGATAAGCGCACGTAAAACAAGCTTTTCCAAGCGACAGATGGAGATCGAATTTGTAGTACTTCGCCAGAGTCTTGAATACGGGTCTCGGATAGACAACAAACATCAATATTAAGACTTTCCAAAGACATAGCCAGCCCTATCTGTTGTCCGACCTGCATAAATGTGCGAACGTTGAAGGCAGCCAGTTTGAATGGTGCACGTGGTTTCAGAAAAACTCCTTCAGTCCTCGTATTCGGTGGTAACATACAATTTTCAACCGGACAGTGACTCGAGAACGTTTAGATACAGTCGAATTTCCACCAAAGACGAGCCGCTGTATAAGTATAAAAGAGGGTGAATAATGTGGATAATAATAATAATAATAATAATAATAATAACAATAATGACAACCTGTGAAATTTCTAAAACTCTCCACAAAACCCATTCTGATAATAATCAACTGCTCATTAGTGACTGACTTCAAGAAAAAACTCCTGGAGTTCTAGTGAGAAGCCGTTACCAGTGGAGTTCAACCGGTCTGTTGTGAGATAACAACTCACTGAAGACAATGGTGTAGGGTGGCGCAACTTTGTGGATTGGTTGAAGTTAGATATTAACACCGTTGGATGCCGGCTCAGTGGTCTAGTGGTTAAGTGCTCGCGCGCGAAGCCAGTAGGTCCTGGGTTCGAGCCCCGCGTGGTGCGGGATCGTGGATGCGCACTGCTGAGGAGTCCCATACTAGGACGAAACGGCCGTCCAGTGCTTCCAGGTTTTCAATGGTGGTCTAGCTTCAACTGACTCATGATTTCAACCTGTGAAATTTCTAAAACTCTTCACAAAACCCATTCTGATAATAATAATAGTATTAATAATGACAATAATTGTAATGATAATAATCTGAATCAATTGTTTGTTTTTCAAAGTGAGAAAGGCGATTTCCATAGGCATAAAGAGTTCATCAATTTGTGTGTGGGCTGTGATACTGCCCGGGTGCCCAAACCAAAGCAGGTGGTTATCTTAGGGGGCCACTCCCCGAGCCTTTGACCTAAAGGTCTAACCCACAAGGCAGTGGAGCATCGTAAGGAGATGCAGTCCCATGGTAGCCGGTGACCAACGATTGGTTCATACGCCATTTGTTCCTTCAGAATACTGGAGCCCATGTGCACCATTGATTTGGAATCCGGTTAAAGCGCCGGACATTCGCTTTTCGTCCTCTTATTTTCGTAAACAACACCCCCGCCACGAGAAGGCAGTGAGTAGGACTTCCCTTTGCAGAGGCTGTATACGCGTGGCCGTGTGAGAGTATTTCGAGAGGGAGAGCGGACTCTCCCCACACTCGGCCGTACCAGGGCATTCAGGGGGGCATCTGTGGAAGGGTCCGTGTTGATTATGAATAATTGGTTTTGAACTAATGAAACAACTTCGTCTAAAAACTAATCAAAGCCATTCTTGTATATAAAATTTTCCATGGCTTTAGCATTTAGTGTTAACGTTTGACCTGTAACTATGAGTCTTCATCAAACTAAAGATTTTTGGAGTTACTGAATTAATAAACACATCCACAATTAGTCAGGAACAGTCACAACTTATTGCATTAAGGCTGTGCTTGCGTGTTGATTGATGAAGAAAGAAGAGAAAAGTTTAGGTCTTCAAACTTTAGATATGTCAGACAACAATAATAGATATTGTTACCTGTTGTAGAAGCGTTGTTTGTACAATACACGGTGTAGACAAAGAAAGTAGGTACGCTTTAGCATGTGTTGCTTTCCGTTGCCCCTTCCTGGATTCAAGAGTCTTGTCATTAAGACTGTCGTTATGTCTTGCAAAGTGCAGTATTTTCTATCTTCATGGTGATAGGCGCTCCAGATTCCACATTCTGACAGTGAAGAAGTCTTCAAAAAACCACCAAATTGTTTTGACACTTGCTATAAAAAGTGGGGAATTAAAACTTCCTCATATGTAACCTGTTTACTTCTAAATAACATCCAGTATGGCTAGTTTCCTAGTGTCTGGTCTGCTATATATCACCAGGTATGTTTGTACGTCATTATCTTCAGTACCATTTAATCTAATTTCTAGTCCTGCATTTTTCAGTTGATAACTTGAGTGTCAGTATCTAGTCACAAGCTGCCAATCATATTCAATTTTTATCCTTATACCTGGTTTTTTTTACACGTAGATCTAGTTAGTTGTTTGTGTTAAAGTGACAGACAGTCCTGTTATTTTACTTAATATTCATCTATTCAGATAAGAATAAAATTGGTTGCTTCATTTGCAGTACGTTACGTCACTCTTAATATTGAATCCATGATTGAAGTACTTGTTATGTATGCCTGAACACCGATTACCACGACGTGCAATGCTGACTAGTGTTAAGAATGGTTGGGAGAAAGTTAGGGGCTGCCAAACCAAAACGTAGCACCAGTGTTTGAAGTCACTAACTTCTAGTCCTAGCCATGTTGGTAGATGCAGACTACTTGGTTGGGGTCCGCGTGACTATCGTAACCAATGGTTGGAGACTCTTGATGGCATGGCTCAGAATCGATCACAATGGCGTCGGTGTATACACTCTCTGTCTTCCCTTAAACTAAGAGATTAAAATCACTTCATATCTTTCTTTCTACGAACTAATTCTTTCTTCCTGTACTATATCCTTATTTCAATCTCTCTTTTATATATTACCAACTCTGAATTAACTACTTTTATGAATCCGGTGTCCATCTTATTGTGTTAATGAGGTATGGCAACTTGAACCGATGCATATATGTGCCTGGTCCTACGTTGTAACTGACTGACTGACTGATTAAAGTACTATATTTACACAAATTGCATTATATAATAGACTCAACACGAAATTGTGAAAAGGGCCACTCTGAGTAAGGATGTGCACCCTCCAGTTTGCTTGATGACTATCATAATTGTCCAATTATGACGAGTTTTTCATTTTTAAGATCATTAATCTCGAATATAATCTTTAGGGGTATTACTGATCTTTCTTTGTTGCTACCATGATTATATAACCGCTTTTAGCTCAAATTATTGCTTCTTTCGATGTGTTATTTGTAGTAAATTTGAAAACTATTATGGAAGAGGAAGATGATTGGAGACAGTGTGCTGAATGGTTAAATAGATGTCAAGTTATCCCGGATGATCATCCGGCTCTGGGGCCAGATGGTAATGCGATTCACTTGGTTCAGGCCTTAATGGACGGAGTTGCTTTATGCCATCTTTTAAGTACATTATCAAACCATGAGTTGGATATAAGATCGATGAAAGATTTTAGCCATATGCCACAAAATTCTCAGTTTTTATGTTTTCAAAATCTTCGACTATTTACACAGTTATGTGAAAAAGAATTTGATATTCCCAGAAATTTGCTATTTCAACCTGGTGATATTTATCATGCTAAAAATTTTGGGAAAGCGATTGCAACTTTATCAAAATTATCATACTCAAGAAGAGCACAGTTAACTGGAATACCGTATGTCTTTTATTTCTTCTGTCGTTTATTTCCAAGCATAGTGGTTTTCCACCAGAAAATTCAAAGCTACAATCAACTCATGAATATTATAATAATCTTGAGGAAATCGCTGCTGCAATGTAGATAATAAAATTTTATCATTATTGTTTTTCATTATTATAATACATCATTTTAGGAATAAATTACCTGACTCTGGAAAACCAAATTATACTCAAATGGAAGAGGAAAATAAAGAAAAACTGTATGATACAGTGGTGTATCAAGGTTCAAAATCTCGTCTAGTAATTTTCTATGTTTCCTTTTGTAACTGTTATTCCAAATTGTCAACATAGAATTTGGACTCTGAACCAACAACTGCACGAGCGTATTGTATTCGCGAAATAGTGGATACAGAAAAAAATTACGTAGATGTGTTGAAAATGTTAATTGAGGTAGAATAGAAAGTTGAATTATTTATTAATTAATATCGCAATTTAGAAGTACAAGCATCCGCTTATTGGAGTTCTTTCGCACAACGAAATTGAAGAGATTTTCAAGTACATTGAGGTAATTATTATGTAGAAATTCGAAAATATTCAGTTCACTTGCTTTTACTCACCAATTTTTCAAAATAACGATACTAGCGTGCTAAGATGATATGGTTTTTTGGATAGTAATTTGAGGCACTGTTCTCTAGAACAATTAAGTGTCGTGAAAAGTAAACATTCTCAGTACATCTACTCTATTTTTAAGATGCATCGTTTACTGCAAAATGAACGTATAGTTTTGGTAACATTAAATTAAAGTGCTTACGAGTAATACTCTGTGTCTTAGTATGACTTTTCTTACCCCTTGTCACTAACTCTTATGCTAGTCAGCGCAGTAGGTAGGAGGCTATCGTGGTTATGCTTCCATTTCACTGGCAACTTAAATTCTAGTTCCTAGGTCGTTTTTTACAGTGACAAATCAATACAAAGTAAATTGTTGGACAACATACCCATTCTTCGGTAGTACATCTCAACTTCACATATGGCAGAGTTCGAAAAATTTAAGTAGGACTTATGTATCTGTGCCACAATTTTATTACTTTTTATTATTCTATTAGTACCTAGATAAGGTTTTCAGAGTATTTTTCCCTTTTGATTGAAAGAGTTTCCTCACTTATCTTTGTCATTTGTTTCTGCATATACGTTAGTTTTGTTATTCCTTCATGTGTGAAACTGGCCTTCTTTTCCACCGATTTTCAGCAAAAATATAGCATACTAGAGATCGAATTGGCCAGATCTGAGTGTAGTTTTAGACATTCCTTTCTCCGTATATTACGAATAATAATCTTGATTCAAAATAACATATACCTGAATAAAAGTTTCAGCGCTACAACTCATCGCCTTTCAAGGATTTTGTTACTTCATCAGCTCACTTTATTATTTCAAAATAAAAATTGAGAGAAAATCTGAGTCTCATTCTGATTTTAAATCGAATATCTTATAATTATTGATCCACTGCACTATATTCTTAACTATGAGACTGAACTACTAAGCATGTCTCATTTAAACCTCCATCGCTCCATATGATCCCCAGTTGTTGCAAAAGAGTGAAACAAGCCATTTAGGGATATGAATGCGCTAGCTACCTAGCTGTTTTTCCCCTTCGCAGTCAAAGCGGTTAGCTATGAACACTAAGTCAGTCAGTCAGTCAGTTACAACGTAGGACCAGGCACATATATGCATCGGTTCAAGTTGCCATACCTCATTAACACAATAAGATGGACACCGGATTCATAAAAGTAGTTAATTCAGAGTTGGTAATATATAAAAGAGAGATTGAAATAAGGATATAGTACAGGAAGAAAGAATTAGTTCGTAGAAAGAAAGATATGAAGTGATTTTAATCTCTTAGTTTAAGGGAAGACAGAGAGTGTATACACCGACGCCATTGTGATCGATTCTGAGCCATGCCATCAAGAGTCTCCAACCATTGGTTACGATAGTCACGCGGACCCCAACCAAGTAGTCTGCATCTACCAACATGGCTAGGACTAGAAGTTAGTGACTTCAAACACTGGTGCTACGTTTTGGTTTGGCAGCCCCTAACTTTCTCCCAACCATTCTTAACACTAGTCAGCATTGCACGTCGTGGTAATCGGTGTTCAGGCATACGTAACACGTGGCTTGACCATCTTAGTCGATGAAGATTCACAACCTCATTCACTGATTAACCATCATTCCCTAATACTCTGTGTCTAACTTCACTATTACTTAGCCGGTGATCCCAGCAGATGTGAGCAATATTTCTAAGGCATCTGTGGTCAAATACTTGTAGCTTACGGGTGTCTTATACTCTTAAAGGCCATGTTTCGCTGCCGTAAAGTAAGACAGAACGGATTGCCGCGCAGTATACTCGTCCTTTTATTGATAGACGGATATCTCGCCTTCGCCATAGGTGACGTAAGTTGGCAAAAGCCAAACGAGCTTTTCGAATCCGTGCTGAGATTTCGTCAGACACCAACCCATTAGGGCTGATCAGACTTCCATGAACACAGTAACTAATTTGTAATTGGGCAATCTGTGATGGTTTTAATATACAAACTGTTATTGATAAAAACTACAAATCTACTAATTAGGGCTAATATATGACGTCTCTTTATGCGTAGCTTGGGTTTCGCCTCTCCGAAGCATAATTGAAAATTTTTTGAAAACTAGGAGTATTATATGCACTTTTTGGGTTTTCAATAGAAGGCGTCTTGTAATTGGTATGTTGAATCATGATTAAATGTCCACCAGTTTTTATCTCTTTTTTAATAATTACTGGTTACTTAATTGAGTTTTGGTAAGGATTTAATTCCCGTATCTTTACCCCAGTCTTAGACTGATCATCCTTAACGACACTTCAGAATAGTCAAGTTTATCTCACTGGGCTGAATAAAGTTAATTTGCTTACCATGAAACTTGAAGATAAGACGTTCATCTATGAAAGTAGTGAAGAGCTTGTATTGTTGAATAGTATTAAACTAAGAATAAAGGTGCTTAATATTCCTAAGCCTGAATTACTTCATTGGTAGTGTATACTAAACATAAAAACTCCTTAAATAAATTAGTTCTGTGATACCACTATGTTGAATTTAATTTTTATGTACTTTACAAATGTGCTTCATTCGTTAAAAGTACTATGATTGTGCTATTATCCCAGTGTAATTCTATTTATAACTTTCGTAGTTCAAAGTTATTTATTCATATTTATGAAACTGTGACTATTTTGGTGTGCGTAAATGTACGCGATTAAATGTGAGAAACAAATATTATGATGTGTCATCGTATTACTTTGATACAATAAGATTTGTTTTATTTCTTTTCTTATTAATTTATCCAGGAATTACATACTATTCATAGAGAGTTTTTAAGTAATCTGAGTTTGGCAACTAGTGCAACTGTGAATTTCCTTAGTTTAAGTGATGTTTTTCTTAAAACTCGAGATAATCTTCTCATATATGGAGAATATTGTGGTCATTTACAACATGCTCAAAATTTAGTTTATGAAATTATGCGAAATGATGTAGAAAAACGTAACAAAATAGAAGTAAGTTATGATAATTAGTACTGTCATTTTCTTTCTCCTTGTGTACGCGTGAGAGTACTTCTTACATGTTTTATTTATTTTTATCAGATACCTGGGTCTTGAACTGAAGGTATTTAGCATTATCAATAATGTTCTTTACGCAGAAGTACATATTCCATTGCTATATGTTGTATGGTGATGAATATTGTATCGTTTAGTTTTTAGTTATTTTTTATTCATCACTCCACTGAATTCAATAGAGCATAGCACTGATGACTATTTAGTAATCCTATTTGTATTAACAGTTCAACAGCGCTTGACTACGAAATCTCTTTATATTTTGAACTATATTCAAAACCTCTTGTTGTTAAACATTCCTTGATGTATGGATCAATAGGAAATGCGAGTGAGTTTTGAACAATCTAAAGTTAGAACAACACGTTTAAGCGAACAGCATTACTTTCAATTTAATCGTCATTAGTCTTCACCCTAATTGTTATAATCCTGATTCTTCTTACGGTTATGACCCAGCTATTCCTATTGCTTAGTATTCTCGGACACCGATTCACTCGACAAGTCCCCAAATCAAAACACGGTTGAACAGGAAAGAGATTATATTCCGAATAGCAAGTCAGAAGCCAGTAGGAAGCACAATAGGGAAAACGTCAGTATATTTATAGTTTTTACATAAGAAGATTCTAGAGTCTTCTCCAACTATCGACCAGTGCTGATTGGATAAGAATTAGCCAATCAGCGTGCACCAAAGCAATCATGCATTGAGCATGCTTTAATCTAGTCTATGTCCCGCTAACACCTCCCCTCTGAGCAGATTCGTAGGATCTGGTGCTAGGGTCCAACTGCGACTGAGTGACTGGCTTGTGCTTTCGATTAGTCCATCGTCTAGGCAATGAAGAATTATCACTTTTTCCTTGCACAGAGACTGACATGTCTGTTCCCGGCGTTTTGATTTTTCTTAGAAAAAAGTATGCATAACTTTTAATTCTTCAACATTCTCCTCCTCCGCGAAACAATGTCGGATCCTTATATCTCCAAGTTACAAATAATAGGACTTTATTTAAACGACGTTTCTCGCATTGAATGTCGGATCCACTAGAAACGACTAGATGATAATGAACGACCTTTGATTTGAGGTCAAAGTTTAATTCTTCTGAAGCATTACTTTCAAATCCATTAGGAATTTCATCAGTGGATAATGGATCATTACGGAAATCATCATCTAACAAAATTAAATTAGACTTTTGACCATAATATGACTGAGCTGATATATTTTCCTGATTTTTATGAGAAATTTCATCAAAATAACATGCATTGTTCTGAGAACCCATGTCTGATACATTGTCATTAGAAATCGGATAAGCTGATTCAATATGAGTTTCTGTCTCACAATGATTTTGAGTAACATTCAGTATATTTGGGTTCGTTGTGTCACTGCAGTTATTTTCTGAATACGAGTCCCCATAGCTTTCTTGGCTAATATCACGTGGACCATAAATTTGTTCTAGCTGAAAGTTATTTTCAGAGCTCGACAGGACCAGTAGTGCTTCATTCAATTCTGGACTCCGGGCTTCATCTACAGGGTCTGACTCTTGATAATCTCGTATTGCCACAACTTTATGAGCATTCAGCACAGGATTTTCTTGCTGTGAGCCGGAAACGTTACAAATATTACGTTCTGATTCAGGTATAAAGGGATTTGAACCCTCCACTAGATATGCTTCTGAAATGTCTGTTACTGCATCATAAACAGATTTCTTATTTTCTGGTCGAGTGAAAAGTGTGTTCAATAGTTGTTGTTGCAAGGCTAACAACTTCTGCTGGTGCTGTAATATTAACCGCAACTGTTCTAAAGAAATCGCCATTTTTCTTTAGTTTTTTTTCCCGTCGCCACTGTTATAATCCTGATTCTTCTTACGGTTATGACCCAGCTATTCCTATTGCTTAGTATTCTCGGACACCGATTCACTCGACAAGTCCCCAAATCAAAACACGGTTGAACAGGAAAGAGATTATATTCCGAATAGCAAGTCAGAAGCCAGTAGGAAGCACAATAGGGAAAACGTCAGTATATTTATAGTTTTTACATAAGAAGATTCTAGAGTCTTCTCCAACTATCGACCAGTGCTGATTGGATAAGAATTAGCCAATCAGCGTGCACCAAAGCAATCATGCATTGAGCATGCTTTAATCTAGTCTATGTCCCGCTAACACCTCCCCTCTGAGCAGATTCGTAGGATCTGGTGCTAGGGTCCAACTGCGACTGAGTGACTGGCTTGTGCTTTCGATTAGTCCATCGTCTAGGCAATGAAGAATTATCACTTTTTCCTTGCACAGAGACTGACATGTCTGTTCCCGGCGTTTTGATTTTTCTTAGAAAAAAGTATGCATAACTTTTAATTCTTCAACATTCTCCTCCTCCGCGAAACAATGTCGGATCCTTATATCTCCAAGTTACAAATAATAGGACTTTATTTAAACGACGTTTCTCGCATTGAATGTCGGATCCACTAGAAACGACTAGATGATAATGAACGACCTTTGATTTGAGGTCAAAGTTTAATTCTTCTGAAGCATTACTTTCAAATCCATTAGGAATTTCATCAGTGGATAATGGATCATTACGGAAATCATCATCTAACAAAATTAAATTAGACTTTTGACCATAATATGACTGAGCTGATATATTTTCCTGATTTTTATGAGAAATTTCATCAAAATAACATGCATTGTTCTGAGAACCCATGTCTGATACATTGTCATTAGAAATCGGATAAGCTGATTCAATATGAGTTTCTGTCTCACAATGATTTTGAGTAACATTCAGTATATTTGGGTTCGTTGTGTCACTGCAGTTATTTTCTGAATACGAGTCCCCATAGCTTTCTTGGCTAATATCACGTGGACCATAAATTTGTTCTAGCTGAAAGTTATTTTCAGAGCTCGACAGGACCAGTAGTGCTTCATTCAATTCTGGACTCCGGGCTTCATCTACAGGGTCTGACTCTTGATAATCTCGTATTGCCACAACTTTATGAGCATTCAGCACAGGATTTTCTTGCTGTGAGCCGGAAACGTTACAAATATTACGTTCTGATTCAGGTATAAAGGGATTTGAACCCTCCACTAGATATGCTTCTGAAATGTCTGTTACTGCATCATAAACAGATTTCTTATTTTCTGGTCGAGTGAAAAGTGTGTTCAATAGTTGTTGTTGCAAGGCTAACAACTTCTGCTGGTGCTGTAATATTAACCGCAACTGTTCTAAAGAAATCGCCATTTTTCTTTAGTTTTTTTTCCCGTCGCCACTGTTATAATCCTGATTCTTCTTACGGTTATGACCCAGCTATTCCTATTGCTTAGTATTCTCGGACACCGATTCACTCGACAAGTCCCCAAATCAAAACACGGTTGAACAGGAAAGAGATTATATTCCGAATAGCAAGTCAGAAGCCAGTAGGAAGCACAATAGGGAAAACGTCAGTATATTTATAGTTTTTACATAAGAAGATTCTAGAGTCTTCTCCAACTATCGACCAGTGCTGATTGGATAAGAATTAGCCAATCAGCGTGCACCAAAGCAATCATGCATTGAGCATGCTTTAATCTAGTCTATGTCCCGCTAACACCTCCCCTCTGAGCAGATTCGTAGGATCTGGTGCTAGGGTCCAACTGCGACTGAGTGACTGGCTTGTGCTTTCGATTAGTCCATCGTCTAGGCAATGAAGAATTATCACTTTTTCCTTGCACAGAGACTGACATGTCTGTTCCCGGCGTTTTGATTTTTCTTAGAAAAAAGTATGCATAACTTTTAATTCTTCAACATTCTCCTCCTCCGCGAAACAATGTCGGATCCTTATATCTCCAAGTTACAAATAATAGGACTTTATTTAAACGACGTTTCTCGCATTGAATGTCGGATCCACTAGAAACGACTAGATGATAATGAACGACCTTTGATTTGAGGTCAAAGTTTAATTCTTCTGAAGCATTACTTTCAAATCCATTAGGAATTTCATCAGTGGATAATGGATCATTACGGAAATCATCATCTAACAAAATTAAATTAGACTTTTGACCATAATATGACTGAGCTGATATATTTTCCTGATTTTTATGAGAAATTTCATCAAAATAACATGCATTGTTCTGAGAACCCATGTCTGATACATTGTCATTAGAAATCGGATAAGCTGATTCAATATGAGTTTCTGTCTCACAATGATTTTGAGTAACATTCAGTATATTTGGGTTCGTTGTGTCACTGCAGTTATTTTCTGAATACGAGTCCCCATAGCTTTCTTGGCTAATATCACGTGGACCATAAATTTGTTCTAGCTGAAAGTTATTTTCAGAGCTCGACAGGACCAGTAGTGCTTCATTCAATTCTGGACTCCGGGCTTCATCTACAGGGTCTGACTCTTGATAATCTCGTATTGCCACAACTTTATGAGCATTCAGCACAGGATTTTCTTGCTGTGAGCCGGAAACGTTACAAATATTACGTTCTGATTCAGGTATAAAGGGATTTGAACCCTCCACTAGATATGCTTCTGAAATGTCTGTTACTGCATCATAAACAGATTTCTTATTTTCTGGTCGAGTGAAAAGTGTGTTCAATAGTTGTTGTTGCAAGGCTAACAACTTCTGCTGGTGCTGTAATATTAACCGCAACTGTTCTAAAGAAATCGCCATTTTTCTTTAGTTTTTTTTCCCGTCGCCACTGTTATAATCCTGATTCTTCTTACGGTTATGACCCAGCTATTCCTATTGCTTAGTATTCTCGGACACCGATTCACTCGACAAGTCCCCAAATCAAAACACGGTTGAACAGGAAAGAGATTATATTCCGAATAGCAAGTCAGAAGCCAGTAGGAAGCACAATAGGGAAAACGTCAGTATATTTATAGTTTTTACATAAGAAGATTCTAGAGTCTTCTCCAACTATCGACCAGTGCTGATTGGATAAGAATTAGCCAATCAGCGTGCACCAAAGCAATCATGCATTGAGCATGCTTTAATCTAGTCTATGTCCCGCTAACACTAATATACATGAATATTTTTATGAGAATTTTAAACTAATCGAGGTGATTTATGAGAATATGATCACAGTCAAATAGATTGGATAACTACACATGATAGGTAGAAAGTACCACTTAATAGTAGATAGACACGTGTACTAGTAATAAGAATAATGAAATAATAAAAGCTCTAGTCAATAATTCAACATAGGAGGTAGGTTACACTTGAATAAATAGATCTTAAAAATAATAATCACAAAGCGTCATTAAAATTAAGTAATAAGAAGTATGTAAATGATTAGATATTGAAGAATATGAACGGAAAAAGGTGAAAAAGAACAAATAAATACAGGATATTAAAATGAGTAAAGTCGTGTATTAAGTTACATCCGACCAAGAAAGGGAGAGAGGTGTCACAAATTTCTTCTGAACGTATAAACTTTTGTTATAGGTTCAGATCCTTATAACTTGTGCTATGCGATAGATCACTAGAAACGATTCAGCTTTATTCACCATTCACCCACTGCCAACCAGGTGTGTCATGATAGAACTAAGTATTATTTTTGTCTGTCCAAACCAAGCTAGGAGATGTTTACTCATTCTTTGGTTAATTTACCTGGTAGTACTCCCGATTTAGCTATCTCAACAGGAGCGGCTGAATTTGTAGATGCACATTGAGCAAGCGAACCCAGGTAACTCATCTTTCATTGATTAAACTGTAAAGTCTAGGTGGATTCAGGGTCATGAATTTTCTTAGTGTAGTCACGGTCCGAAACCTATTTACTTATGATTGGGATTCAATATCCATCACAATCGACTAATTTTTTATGGTTAAGTCGTACGACTTACTTTGTATAGGTTTTATTATTACTCTGATAACATTCTTATCTTTAATACGTGATTCAAACAATGTAAAGATTTGCTACTCCGACTAATGTAAATGTACATATATATATATATATATATATATATATATATATATATATATATATGTACATTTACATTCACGACTCACTCACTACTATTACTACTACTGTTACTGCTACTACTACAACCGTAGTTAGCTTGCTCATCCATTTTGCCTCTCTGCTGTCTGGTCCAAATTATCTGCTAAATAAACTGTAGTAGCTGCTTCTCTTTACCTTCTGATTTCAAACACCGTTGAAGATTGTACGATGACGGTTCGAGGGTGATTAATTATCGAAGCACAGCCACTACACCGTTATAACGTTTTGCTTCCGTAGTGCAAGCTACTCTTTTGATTACAACAGTAACATATAAGGGACAGATTTCTAAATGATTATCTTTTTTAGCAACGGGATGAAAAGCAAGGTTGACTTCGAAGGTTATAGATAATGCGAGATCTAGTTTCAAGACTTGATGGAACAACATATCGATACATGTGGATATTGTGAAAGGTAACGTTTGGGTCCATATTGAAGTGAATGAAACATCAACCAATCCCAAATGCCAAAACATAGAAAGTTCTAAACTAAGTATCCAAATCATTGCTTTAAAGTATTTCTGTGTAAGTGACTTACGACATGGAATCCCAACATATGTTGGAAAGTCGTTATTATTATTTAGAAAGAGATTATGATAACATCATGTAGTGGAAAAGAGACTGGTAAGTTTTTTGTCAGATTTGGATAGCTACATAGAGAATCTGATCATGTGGATTTTGTGATGAGATTAAATCGTAATATTTGTTATATATATATATATATATATATATATATATATATATATATATAGGAAAATGGATGAGTCATCGAATAGGTTAAGCGGTTAATAATGAAGCTAGCAGGATGAATATATGCGTAAGCGCTAAAAAATGTTCAAGCATACGTATATCATACAAGCACAATAAAATAAGGGTACAATAAATTGTTATAGTGCGGATGACTGTCCGCTAAATAAGTTTGCAAAAGGGCTTAACTGAGCTAAATGAGAATAAACTCAATTACACGTGAGTCGCTATAACGGCTTGGAACATCGATTTTAATAAAATAAATTACTCCATATCAATGACTGTTTTCGCTCTGATCATTTTTGCAACTCGTAGATTTCCTGCCGTGCACGGATATCTGCCTTAAAATTAACCAGTTCTTTCGTAAGTATTTACTTTGGGACTTTAATGCAAAAATTCGATGATTCAGCAAGTGCGAAAATTAGTTTTGAGTTAATGGTTTTATATGTCATTTGATGGTGAATTACAGTATTGTTTTCGCCATTGTGGATCCCTGTATCGTAAGTTATTCCCTTTATATTCGAGGAGTCAGTCAGTCAGTCAGCTACAACGTAGGACCAGGCACATATGTGCATCGGTCCAGGTTGCCATACCTCATTAGCACAACAAGATGAACACCGGATTCATAGGAGTGGTTAGGTCAAAGGTTGCAATAAGGATATAGTATAGGAAGGAAGAATTAGTTAGTAGAAAGAAAGATATGAAGTGATTTTAATCTCTTAGTTTAAGGGAAGACAGAGAGTGTATACACCGACGCCATTGTGATCGATTCTGAGCCATGCCATCAAGAGTCTCCAACCATTGGTTACGATAGTCACGCGGACCCCAACCAAGTAGTCTGCATCTACCAACATGGCTAGGACTAGAAGTTAGTGACTTCAAGCACTGATGCCATGTTTTGGTTTGGCCGCCCCTAACTTTCTTCCAACCAACCCCTACACCGGTTAGCATTGCACGTCGTGGTAATCGGTGTTCAGGCATACGTAATACGTGGCCCAACCATCTCAATCGATGAAGATTCATAACCTCATCAACTGATTTACCATCATTCCTTAATACTCTGTGTCTAACCTCACTATTACTTAGCCGGTGATCCCAGCAGATGTGAGCAATATTTCTAAGGCATCTGTGGTCAAATACTTGTAGCTTACGGGTGTCTTCTACTCTTAAAGGCCATGTTTCGCTGCCGTAAAGTAAGACAGAACGGACTGCCGCGCAGTATGCTCTTCCTTTTATTGATAGACGGATATCTCGCCTTCGCCAAAGGTGACGTAAGTTTGCAAAAGCCAAACGAGCCAAACGAGGAATGCCTTGAAATACCAAAACAAGATTTAAGTGTTTAACCCTACACCTTTATAAATGTACTTGCGATTCATGACATCATTAAAAAACTAGTGACGGTTATTTCCAGAAGAATGTTGAATTGGTTGATTAATATTCCTCACTTAAAATCACCCAAATAATGAGTATTTTATCGTTTTTAACTGACATCTCAATTTTTGGAGACTAGGTTAAAACTCATGTAATTACTGAAATACGTAAAGATTAAATTTGACATCCTCGTTATGGAACAAAGATAATCATTGTTTTTTTCAATGTTCCGGGAATATAGGACAAAAGTATCTAAGATATATTTATACGATCTCTCTAATTTTGATTTGTTTTAATGGTCCATTCATTTTCCATTTTTTAAACAAATCATTCATAGTTATGTCAGTCAAATTCAGAGAAATACAATAAATTCGCTTTGGCTGAATTACTTACAATACCAATCCAACGCGTTTTGAAATATCATCTTCTGTTAGAGGTGAGCTTGTGTGTTTGATAAGTTATTATTTTTTAGTATTACATAACATTTTATTTTATTGCTTCTACAGATTTGTTTTCTTCTGATTTAATTTCCCACAACTAATTGAAATATCAAGCGTCAGATTCCTGATACTAATAAATACCGTTTGAAATTTAGGTAAAAAGAAGTGAATAAGTGCGTTTTCTGGGCAATATGTTTCATTCTTAATTTTTTCTAAACCCCTCAAGGTAAATGTGTACAAGTATAACTCCTCATATATCTTGACACTTTCGGTATTTTTTTCACTGGTTAAATCATTCGAATAATTTTATATGATTTTTGATACCCGAGTAGTGGTTCAGTGGTTAAGGCGTTCGACCTTCAACTACTAGGTTGCTGGTTCGAGTCCAGCCCGCCTACTTCGGTTTGGGAAGTCGATTGTTACTACTAATCCCCACACGTAGAGTATGATTTGATGCCAGGTACAATAATATGTACCTTGTAATTCAGTTGAATCATGTGATATTGTCCGAGTATTAGACTGACTTAGAAAGGCGGAACTTTTTATCATATCATGAAATATTTGTGCTCAGGTTAGTGATCAAATTAGTTAACCTTGAATTGAATATGTAAAACATATGACAAGTAAATCGACTACAGTCAAATTTCTGTTTGTATTCTGTTAACACCTGTTGATATTCAGTTTAATTATATTGTCTCGTATCAAATAGTCTTCGGATTTAGGGTATTACCTTAGTTATTTACAATTAATTGTTGCACTCACGATTTGTCTGAATTCCAACAGTCACTAACTTTAGGAACATCTTGAAGTCACTGGTTAACTGACTATTATAGTAGTTTAGTTTAGGTGGTTTTGAGATCGGCTCAATTTGTGGATTGTATTCATCATGAATATTGACCTCATCACTGCACATTCACGACTCCACTAAAAGTCGAACTTAGAAATTTTAAACCTAGCGCCAATTCACAATATGAAGAGCCTAGTGGATGAGTGATTCCGAGCTCTGTACTAGAACAAAGCAGTTGTTCAATGCCCCTTGATTTTCTTTGATGTTCCGACTGAGAGTAATCTATGGCGAATCCAGCCTACAAGTTAAAACAATCTCCCCAAAACTCCTTCAACTAGATTATTGTTATCAACTCACTAGTAATTTGCTTTGCTTTGTTTACCTGGAATCTAATTATTAAATATCTGGATTTTTTTGATAGCTTTGAATTTTTTCTGTATGACTTACAATTTTGTCAATACTACTACTACTACTGCTACTACTACTACTACTACTACTACTACTACTACTAATAATAATAATAATAATAATAATAATAATAATAATAATAATAATGATCAAAATTGTGTTCAAGTGTATGGGATTCATAACTGTTACTATAAAAAAACGTGAGTATGCCTTATTTCTTACATTGTCCCTACGTTATAGTAAAAACCCAAACAATGTCTCAGTTGTTTTCAGTTTTTCTTCGGTAAACGTTGATGTCTTCTAGAAAGTACATTCAACTACTGAATCATTTGAATACATTTTATTGGGTTCACTGTTATTGGTCATAAAGCATTTTCAGATCAATAAACTATACCAGTTCCAATGAATAAAATAAGTACTTTTCTTAAATTTCAGCATCTATGTAAACTCACTCCAGCTGATCACTATGATCGTCCTGATCTAACTGTAGCTCACGAAGCTATGCGTGAAGTTGCATTATCTATCAACGATGTTAAACGAGATCTTGACACGATTAGCTCGATTGATCAAATTCAATCCAGGTTTGTTTTTTCACTTAATCTATAGATTATAACCATTCAATCCATTTTTAGATTATTAATTAAACTTCACCTTTCTTGATGAGTTATTGGTTACTTGTGATTGTTAAATAATAAATTATTATCTATATATGTTGCCTGGTTAACATAGTTGTTTTGACCTTATAATTGTAAATGTGTTCGATTGATACTTAGGGTTATATGGAATAATTCTACCGATTCAATAGGTTCTAATCATACAAAAACGTCAAATGCGAGTTTAAATTAACTTTTAATTGTAATAATTCAGGAATCATAATCTATGATATTAAAATGTAAATATTTTTTTCATAGAGAATTATACCATTGGTTTAATCCAGGGTCGATCACTTAAATCACTGCAATTTACTGGATAAATAATCCAAGCCTAAAACAATCGGTTTTTAATTAGTCATTTGAATTTCAGTTATGGATATGTTTTGTGTGAGCGCATATATAATCACTATACATCATATTGAATCTTTAAACTGTAATAATGATAGGTTAGAATACTACAGTTTATATTCGTTTTGCAAATTCGTGAGTACTTTACAGCATTTGTTAAATTTCGCTTCAATAACAATCAGAGGTAGTAACAGTTTTATTGGTAGTAGAATAGATTAGGCGGCGAACAAATGGTTCTAGAAAATATAGACTAAAGGAATAAAAAATTTATGAGATAATTTATAGACTTAAAATCTAAGGGAGGACGAAGGGTGATTGTAATTGAGCTAAGTCACCCGAAGTCTAACCATTGATCATGATTATCACTCATACCCTAACCAGGTAGTCTGCATGACTCAGTCCAACTGTTCGCATCTTCATTAACTGACTCCGTGCCTTGGTTTGACCGCCCCATAGCTTTCTTTCAATCTACTCTCACACCAATTATCATCTCTTTAAGTTAATTAGACATGTGTGTGAATAAATTCTCATCGCTCATTTCTTTAAAGTTTGTTTTCATGATATCACGTATATGTCTATTGTTGGCTTACTTCCAAATAGCCATTATCATATGGAAAATTCCATTTGTCATTTATTCTTTTGTTCATACATCAAACTAAATTCGGTATTTCAATGATACCTAAGGTGGCTTTGACAATTTAAAACAATTCATTTATTATATAAATTAGTCATTTTTCTCTATTTTATGTGCTGTTTTTTTACCTGCTCCATATCTTTTGTTTCTTTCTTTCGTTATCTTGACAGTTTACTTGAAATAATGCTGGTGAGTAGTAGTAGTGTGATATTTTCATGACTTTTAATTATATTTGATTGAATTTTTATCAAATGATGTATTTGCGTACGACATCCGATTAATAAAATGATCATTTACTAATTGATAATTGTCATAATAGTAAATTTTTCAACTTTTTTATTATTGACTTTATTGGTCGTTTGATCTTGAAAAGTGATTTGGTGTGATCAAACTTCGAAAATTCAGTCTATATCTATGCTTAAAATAATGACAGTGAAATAGAAATAAAGATGATCCTGTATTATAAAAACATCATGTGACATACTAAGAATTATGGATTGAAACGTATTCATTAGAAAAAACAGACCAGCGCCTAGATTCACTAAATAATAGATAGACAACAAGGAATTTCGTCACTCTGTTAATTATTTCTATATAGTGGTAAGTTACTTGCTGTGCACCCTACTTTATTAAATAATGATCAGAGATTGAAGGCTATTTTAATGTTTCTTAAAAAGAAGAATACACTAAATGATGCGTCCAAAAGAAATTTCATTCATATAATCTGTTGGCGGGATTAAAGCGTGCTCAATGCACGATTGCGTTGGCGCGTGCTGATTAGCTAGTTCTTATTCAATCAGCGCTAGTCGATACTTGGAGGACACTCTAGAATCTTCTCATGCAAAAACTATAAATATACTAACGGTTTTCCTATTGTGCTCCTTACTTCCATCTAACCTTGTTATTTGGAATATAATCTCTTTCTTGTCAACCGTGTTCTGATTTGGGGACTTGTCGAGTGTATTGGTGTCCAAGAAAACTAAACAATGGTAATAGCTGGATTGTAATAAAAGAGAATCATAACATAATCATTATGATTAAACAACTGTGACTGCTAATTTTGCAATGCTATCTAATTGAACAATAACAGTTTCAACTGATGAATATAGTCAGTTTCATTTTATCTTGCCATAGTAAAAACCAATAATAAGGGAATCAACCGTGAAATAAATGAATTACGACTGTCTAGTGTTGAAATAAATATCATCTTATTCTTTTCATGAATACTATTGGTTTTCTTTGTACAATGTTCCATTTCAAATAATCACAAATTTTTTTTCTAAAAATAAACTATTTCATGAAATTAATTTTTATTCTTCTCTGTTATTTCCTGATAAGTTTTACGTAATTTATTAGAGGAATGAAAATTTTATTCACTTTTTCTCTCAATATTAAGATTGATTAATCACTAGTTTTCATGATTAGTTTTAGAATTTAGTAAAGGGATATGCAATTTAATTCAATTCTTAGCAATCAATTTTAATTCTTTATCATATTGAATGTATACAAAAGACAACTGAATTGTATGCGAAGATAAATTTCTTAATGTCTGAGTATAGATGGTAGTAAGAATTCAAACAGTAAATAGGCAGGTGAAATGAAGTGACCTTGATTAAGTAACTGATCCATTTACTTATTATAGCTTGTTCACATCGTGTGACTCGTAAAATCTTTTATTGTTTGAATATTATATTGGATATTATATCGAGAAAATATTCATTAAAGTTATAAGTGAATAGTTTCTGTTTATGAGAGATATCATGGATAAAGTAAATCCAAAAAGAGTTTAGGCAATATTGGATTGATTCGTATTAAATGCATGCTTTCAAAAATATATTTACACACAGTGACTTGTTTAATATGTGGATGATTTTCATCATGAGCTGATATCAGTTGGTGGCCCATTAAAAACTATGTAGTACACCTAGTTGTTTTATCCTAGTATAGGATTCCATAACAATAAATATCTGTAACGTCTCCAGAAAGCGAACACAGTATGATTAACAGTTTTCATTACAAGTGTGTTAAACTGTTGACTACTAGGTTGGTGATAATGTGCATTTCCAGCATTAATCAGTTTACGATATTCTGAACAAAATCATTACTTGAAACTATACTAATCATCGAAATTTTTAAAATCTAACTCTCATTTTTTAAATATTTATTACAAATAAGTCCTAGTAATTCTTATGAAGTTGTGGATATTTATCTGATTGGGATTCTCGTGATTATCTTGATCACCGGTTGAAGACGTTCAATAAAATGACTCAGAATCGGTCACAATAGCGCAGATACATTCATTCTTTATTTTTTATTTTATCTTGGATCTGGAAATTGTCTTGTACTTTATATTCCACGAATTTAACTTTTCTTCTCTAATCACATTGTCTGCCTTTTATTTTACCTTCAAAACCAACTTATATATACATATATGATGTTTTTGAGATGGAGAGGGAGACTTCTTCAATTCATGCCTTCTTCATTGTCTTTTTTCTTTTTCTATTTCTCAAATTTCATTTTTCTGAAACAGGTTTCTTTCTAAAACCTATCTGATATGTTAAACAGTAAAAATTCTAATAAAAGCAGTAATGATGTTCATAACAATAATATTATGATAAATTTTGACAAGGGTAAAACACATTAACCAATAAAAATTAATTGAATTATAATACAGTTTTAAAATCTTTCATTAAATTTTATTGTTCTATTATGCTACGAATTAATGATATAGAATAGTGGGATGTCTAGTTACGGAATTAGAACATATATGAATGTACTAGTTAACCATTCAAACAAAACATTATTGTATATCTTTTTAAGTTGATATCAATCACTTATCTTAGTTGATCAACCAGTGTAAGTTAGAAATCATTGGACAGTTGTCCCGTCCTATTATGTAAACCACTGGACGTCAATCTCCTGATGTCGAGTGTTATACTAGGTCAAGGTAGGTATCCAGTGCTATGACTCTAGGGTTGTCTAACTAGAATCAATCTATGGTGCTAACTGTAAAAGTTGACAATTCTTATAAGCCTTCTCGAGTAATAATATGTATTCTTTAACAGTTATGTTAATGTGTTGAGAAATATATTAGGTTACGATACATGACTGTTAATTTGAACACAGAAAATAAGTGAACCCTTAAAGAAAATTTGCGTCACTTACTTTTATTATTTATTTATTTCATAACACTTGATGAAGATTAATTCACATAAATAGTGCAAAACGCTAATTGCATTTATTTTCTTCTAGTAAAGTCAAATTTTTTTAATAGCTGAACATTTATTTCTATACTATACAAGAAATTTTAATGAGTCAACTATAAATAGTTGAAAATTTAAAGCTTTTACCTAAATGAGTTAGGTTCAGTGGTCTAGAGGTTATGCGTTCGCTCGCGAGACTGATAGGTCCTGGGTTGGAATTCCGCGGAGCGGGATTGTGTATGCGCACTGCTGAGGAGTCCCACAATAGTACGAAACAACCATCCAGTAATTCTAGGTTTTCCATGGTTGTCTAGTTTCATTCGATTCATGAACTCAACTATTAAAATTACTAAAATCTCACAAAAACCCCTGTCTAATTTTATAATTCTATGTAGAAAAAAAACATATTATTTAATCATTTAAAATAAATCGGGATGACTTCAATAGTTTCTGTTTACTGAGTAAATAAATCTGTTAATATTGAAAGATGTAAAGCTAATTATCAATCAATAACATTTGGATAAACTAACGTTTAAATTACTTTAAACATCAAATCAAAGCAATTGAATTATTAGTTTTCCAATACCTGGTTTATTATGTACCATTTTTGTATCTACATGATGTATTATGTTTATTCATTTATATTTGAAGATAATATAAAACAGGAATTTATGTTATGTATTATTGGTATAAGGGAATGCGGATCTATTAACTACAAATTCAACATTTTAAATATATATGAAGGTGGGTATCAATGGAATCCAAGACGTGCCTTTCATCTTATCTGAAAATCGTCAATTGGATATAACTGTATTTCGAAGTTAATATTCACTCCAAGGCATCACTGGGAAGATTCAAACAACCAATATAATTGAATTAAACTTCAACTCATAGCACAAGTTAAGTGGATAACTCGATGACGCTTTAAGTGAATGGTACTGGACACTAGTCTTGAAGTGAACGTCAACTCTGGGATACAGGTGAATCCAGCTGACAAGTCCCAAATAGGACGAACAGTGCGTCCTGAGTTCCTCTGCTAGCCTCCGTCTATCTCTCTTTATAACGCATATGACTTAGTGGAAACATCGAAACATTCGTGCAGCATGTATATATGCTAATAAGAGTGTCTTGAACCTCAATGGGAGGATTCAAACAACCAATACAATTGAACATATATATATATATATATATATATATATATATATATATATATATATATATATATTACAATTAATGATATGAGTAATCAGAAATACATGAACATATGATAGTGCTTTTTCCATTTTTAAAGGTTATTTTTTGTATTTATTCTATCAGTGGTTTTCTATCAGCCGGTAAAACTTTTGTGAATATAGACCGAGCGAAATCATTTATATAATCTTTTTCGTATTTTTATAGATTTAATAGAATTGGGAATTAAAGTAAATGTATCACGTAAATGAGAATAACAGTGAATCTTATGGTCCCCATAATTAACTGAATTCTACTGAATAGGAAATTTACCATTTATTTATTATTTACTCGTCTGAACACATAAATATTGGTACAAGGAGGCACCAAACAGATATGCGCCACATAAACCATTCGGTTAGTGTGAAGGCTGTTATACCAAAGCGGGTGGTTCTCTTAGGGGGACACAGCCGGACCCTTGGACCTAAAGGTCTGGTCAACAAGCAGTGGAACAACCTTAGGAGGTGCAGTCTCATGGTAGCCGATGACCAACAATTGGTTAATACGCTATCTCTTTCCTCAGGATTCTGGAGCTCATGTGCGCCACTGGTTCAAAATAAGGGTTTCTAAATCCTCGTAGGAGGATCCTCAGTATCCACCAACCCGGTTAAAGCAGCAGACATTTCGTTTTCGTCCCCTAAATTTCGTAACCGACACCGCCGCCAAGAGAAGGCAGGGAGTAGGACTTCCATGAGAGTGGTGGTATACACGTGGCTATCTGAGAGCATTTCGAGAAGGAATGCTGACTCTTCCCACCCTCGTCCGTACCAGGGAATTTGGGGGCAG